TTAAAGACTACGAAGCTCTCGATAGGTTCGAGGCGTAGGCTCCGCGTAAGCGTAGAGGCCGCGTAGTAAAAGAGGCTCGGAAGTAGAGCGGAGTAAAATAGAAGAAGAGTAATAAGAATCAAGTAGTTTTATTACGGTTAGACCTAAAGGGGATCACTTTATAGACTATACTATAAGATAGGCGTATACGCTACGCAAGCCTAGAGAACGCGCTAAGTACTCTACTTAAACTTATTTTCCTCCGCCTCCGACTCCTCGAACAGCTCGTTTCTAGTAAGGGTAGCATCGAAGGCATTAGTAGACTACCCTATTATCTCTAACTACTATATAGACGGTTAGCATTATAGACGTATACGAGGAGTAGGCGAGATACTTACGACACGACCGACTTAAGTAATAGCTATAAGATTGTTCGTTAAGCGAGTAAGATTAGGCGCCTCGACTACGCTACTTATACGCCGTACACCCGAGGTAGGCTCGTTAATACGGATCTAAGCATCTAACTTAACACTAAAGGTGTTTACCGCCGCCTTATAAGCCGCTTCCTCCTAACTACCCTTCTATATAGTAGCATCTACTAGATTAAGCTCGTAGGCCGTAGCTATAACGCTATCGTAGCGTAGGCGTATCGCTACCGGTACGGGTTTATACTTATAATAATTATTCCTTTAAGGGAAGTTAGCGCTACGTAAGAGAGGAGTAGGCGTCTCGAATAAGCGTTACTTACTTATAGTAGTCGTACTTACGCTTAAACGCGCTAAAGACCGCGTTATAGCGATAGCTAATACGAAGGTATACTAACCGCGTATAGCGGCGATAGGCCGTAGGTACCTCGACGGCGCGGCGCTTACTTACCGACGCTTAAGCGGGGGTCGCCGGCGGATCGGGTACGCTACGCTTACGGGGAGTACGTAGCGGTATAATAAAGAGTAGATATATAGAAGAGAAATCTATAAGGTAGAAAGAATGTTAATAAGAGGTAGTTACTAGGGTACGTTACTTAGTAAACAACCTACTTAGAGATCTATAGATATAAGACCCTTACGGATAGTAGCGGTAACGTATACGCTACGTAGTAGGGGGACTTATCGACCCTCTCCTCGAGTAGCGGTCGCTAAGGGAATTAAACCCTCGCCCTTCTAGGTACGGCATTTAGCCTACTAGAAGGAGGATAAAGTTCCGAAAGCGGCTACTTCCTATATAGCTAGTTTAACTAGCCGGCTTTTATRTAAATAGCCCGAAGGTTACTTAGAAAATAGGCMCTTTACTATATAGAGTCTACGGACCCCGAGCGCGACGTATACGACGCGCGCGCGCCTCTATTTCCTAAGACCCCGAACTAAGGCTAGTTCGTATAGGGGGAAGGAGGTAATTATAAGGGCCGTATAAGAGCCCTTATAATAATAGGATTAATAGAGGTAGCTAGATTAACTAACCTTAGAGAAGGGAGTATAATGTAACCCGACTACTTAGCGTAGGCTTAGCGTATATATAACTCCTACGTATAGCGTACATTTAACCTATAAGAATTAGTCTTATCTCTAATCGAGTGATTACGGGTGTCTAATACATTACTACATCTTTACCCTTATAGCGCTTCCCTCGGATAGTTACGTAGTTCGGTAGGTTTAGTTTACTATAGCCCTTACTTAATAGATTAAGGATAACCTTATTAGTAACTCCCTTACTAAGGATTAGCTAGCTACCGAATAGCATTAAATTAACGATAAATTAATAGTATAGATAAACTTACTTAAGACGACCGGATTATTAAGAATACGGACCTCCGGAGGTAATATAGCTAATCGGAGCCCTATCCGGTTAGTTACCGGTAACTAACAACCCTTATACTAACTCCTACTAACAGCGCTTCAATTGCTAACTATACTAACCGGTAACCTAACTACCAATAACCACTTACTAAGCTAACCACACCAACAAGCACACTGCTATAGAATGTCAATCAAACGCCAATAACGCCCCATGAATGTCAGTGAGTTAGTGAGTATGCCTCCGACTACCACAAAAATGACAGCGCATTTATGGGAAGATCACAGACCTCCACCATCCTGCGACCCGCCGTAGTCCCGAGAGAACGGATCGTCGTAGAAGAACGAGCCAGGTTGAAAGGGTGAAGCAGTATCGAGATCAGTGAGAGGGTATCCTGATTCTTCGACGACTGACCCTCGCGGTCCGTTGTACGAAGTATGATTCATTTGGGCACGATACTCCCGAGCAAACGTATCGAACGCTGAAAGTGCAGCCGTACCGCTTCCATCGACCTGCGCTCCTCCTTGAGTCGTCGCGTGATGCTGATACGGAGTCAAAGAGAAGTCCAAGCTTGAACCGTAGTTGGTGGAAAGCGAAGCTCCTGGGGGGATAGTCGAATAGCTGTAGTGGTTCGGGGTGGACTGAGAGTCTTCGCTCTCCTGGGCGGGCTCATCAGTGCGTTGTTCTAAGACGAGGTTCGATGGAACTTGCGTGCGCTTCGAAGATCGATAAAGTGGCGCATTCGTCTCTGTGGCCTCGTGGCTGCGCTTCTTCGTCGGAGCCATGTAGCTCGTATTCGCCGCGTGGCCGCTCACGCTGTCCTGCGAGCCAGCCAACGATGTCGCAGCGGAATCCGGAGTCGCCTTTCGTGATTTCCTGCCTTGAAAGGTGCCTTCCTTGACTTTTCTGCCAGCCGCCGTACACTCCTGTTTCCTACCATTGCCCTGAGCGGCGTCCAGTCGAGCTTTGTAAAGACCCTTCGGGTCGTKCGCCAGGTCGCGCAAAATTTTTGGCGAACCTTCGATGACCGCCTTGGCGAGATGCTTGATATCCATGCATTTGATCGCCTGTTCCACTCGCTCAGAGGCCTTCAGAGAGGCGTCGAATTTGGCCGTCTTGGAGCTTGACGCAGAGCCGTTTCGGTGAAGCTCAACGATCTCCTCAATCGCAAGAATGCACTGGCTTTGTGCACTTGCACAGCCATGGGCGGTACTAGTGAGCTCCTTCACGGCAATCACGCCGTTCCGCTGGTAATTATGGTAGTAGGCGATCTTCCCCTCGTCCCACTTACGATTGGCTGGTGGCGCACCCTTGAAGATTGCCTCGAGAAGAGAGAGCGCATGAGACGATACCAAAGCAGAGACAACTTCCACATCATCATCGTCGTGATCGAGAGAGACCCTGCAGAGGCCTCCCGGTGGATGAGCTGCAAGCCAATTGGTAGCTTGCGTGACGTCGGAAATCGCCCAGTTCCAGGAAGGCTGCTTAACAAGGCGATCTGGAATGTCTGGGACCGATGGGCCATCGAAGTAGTTGTCGAAACTCGCAAGCTGCGTATCAGGGTAATCYATCAAGTCCCCGGGTGTGAGAGGTGGGAGGACAGGGGACATGCTCGAAAGGGGAAAGTCGAGTGGATGCGGAGCGTAGTTGGAGTTGGTTTCATAGTCGTGTTKCTGGTTGTCACTCAGATCGTCCTGCGTAGAGACATCTGCATCGTTGCGCTCAGATGTGGGGTTGTTCATGATGTTGACTTGAAGATCATTTGAAATGTAACCTGCGCTATCACGAGAGTCGGGCTGCGCGCGCGAACGGGTGTCGGAATCTGCAGCGAATGGGTAGGCGGTGCCTTGATATGCGGTGCCAACGGCAGCTGGCTCATTCTGGTTGAAAGCGTGGCTCTGCTGCTGTTGGGGTGGTGTGGTGTATTGCCCATTGGCATGGAGGGAATCTTGAAAGTCCGCGCGCCGCTCCATGGCGACTCGTCGATCTATAGACAACATTAGCAAGACCTCGATGATGTTGTTTATGATCCGAATTACCCCGAGTGGTTCTGTGTGATAAAGGACAAACGATTCCGTGTGTCGAGTGTTGGTGGAAAGGTGTAGTCAGAAGTCGACGAGTAGTAGTAGAAGATGTTGAGGATCAAAAAGTCGAGCAGTACTTTCCGACTTTCAGCTGACGATGGGTGAACAGACCGCCAGAAGTTCTCGTCAGCTTCTGATTGTGGCCCATCTGCCTGCTGTTATTGTCAAAAGACCGCGCAACAGTAGTCTGAACAGTTACTCAAAGAGGGAGTATCGCAGAGTGAATTCATAGCAAGGTCGAACACCTTCGCGGAAGCCCACGAAGTCATAGAGTAGAATCAAGGTCTGTAGACCGCCCGTATACACAGATAATTTTGACTATGATTATAAGTCCTCACGTATTGGCACAAATGTCAGTGAGAAGAGAACATGGCGGTATATGGAAGCGCCTGCTCGTTTGCTCGCCATATTTGCTTCCAATGCTTGGTGACCAAACACACTGACAAGACTCTGCAAGTTTATACATCATGAGATGTCGAATTCACTGCTCAGAGATGCATATCGTTCACAGCATAGAAGAGTCCCCTTTCATAGACGCTAGCAAAACCGCACTGGAATTAGTGATACACGGAAAGCTTACGGCGCGCGGACGTCTCGAAATCTTACTTCTGGTTGACCTCGTCAAGTTGCTATCGTCGGGCTTCCGAACTTGGAAGACCATTAGATCGCAATGCAGCAACAGTGCAGGGCGTGTTAGCGACACGTAATTCTTTCAGCCGATACATTGCACAATGAACAAAGATATGTAAGCGAAAGTAGGAGGCACAGCTGTTCATATTTGTTATGTATTGCACACTTCGCAACCACTTCTTCTCCCGGCTACAGCGTAAGCAGTTTCGAACTGCCACTGTGAGTCCCGTTCGGACGTTCCCAAATATTAAAATTTAGATTGCGATGAGCAGCACTTCCTTCATTTCATCATGGCGTCAGCCTGTCACACCGTCCCCGCCTCATTCCTATTCAATCTGCTCCAGCAATCGTCCTGATCATCGAGGAAAGCCTATTCGCTGCTGCTAGGAGGTCTGACGCCGTCTTGGGCATATCTATTGCTTCTCGGCTTGCCCGAATACTTCGTCCAGCTCCTGGTACGGGCCCTGATACTGTACTCGTTGCTGCTGCGGGTAGCCTAAGCTCACATCTGGTCCAGACTGCGGTTGCTGGAGATAAGGACCGGGCTGGTTCCAGCTTGGCTGCGCTGGGTAATCGGAGTGATTCCAACTCGAGCCTTGCTGGGCATCACCGTGGGAGTGGAAGAATAGACTGCTTGAACCGGGAGTGCTCACTGGCCAGACTGTAGGTCCCGGTTGCATACCATGGCCCATGTTTTTGGGGGCTTCTTGGAACGCTGCTCCTGGGTACGTCTGAATGAGAGGCGCTTGGTGGTGGGAGTCGTTTGCAATCGCCGCAGTTGGCGTGGCATAGCCTGAGTCGGCTTCAGGAGTAGGCCTCCCCTGCGACGTTTTCCTCCTGGCGACGGTACCGCGGACTCGAACTCACCCTGGARAGCCTCGCTACCGCCACGCTTACGTGCGATCGTGTGGCTGTTCGTGCCATCCACAGGCGTCGTGGTCTGAGCGATATCAGAATGCCGGCCTTGGGGTGTAGCGTCGCCGGTAAGAGTCGCAGTAGCCTGCGCGATCGATCGCTCTGACGCCTTCGCAGACTCCGCAAGAGCTCGCTTCCCCGCAAAGTTCTTCCCCTTCTTTTGCCTGTTGTTCTTGATAGCGTGCTCGCGCATCTTCAACAGCGCAACAGGATTTCGCACAAGGCTTTTGAGCGTCTCGACGTTGCCTTGAGCAATGTCCAACGACACGCGCTTGATCTGGGCGCAGCTCATGATCTTCGAGATGCGATCAGAAGCCTTGAGACTGGCGTCCAACTTCATCTGGTTGATTCCCGGAAGGACTCCAGTGCCGTGTAAATCGAATACTTGCTCGACGAGAAGTAAGCACTGGCTTTGCGCTCTAAGACAGCCTTGAGGTGTTTCAAGCAGCGATTTGAGCTCTGCCATGGCTTTGGTTTGGTAGTTGTCGTAGTACTCAACGTCTTGCTTGTCCCACTCCGGCTTGCCTACAGGAGGCGCCAAGAAAAGAGCATCGAACAGGGTTTTGGCGTGAATCGCCAGTCTAGGGAGCTCCACTGCGATGTCGTCGTCGAGAGGGCTTGCTTGGTCGAGATGAACCGTCAGAGGATTCGTTGTCAACCACGCTCTAGCTTGAGTGACGTTGGTGATTGATGCGCTCCAGAGAGACTGCGTTGCGTTCACTCCACCTGTCTGAGATGTCGGTACAGTCGCAACATTGGAAGTTGGGTGAGAGATGATCGTGGCGCTCAAGCTGTTGCCGTTCTGCTGTTGCCCTTCGTTCGTTGGGTTGCGCACTTCTTGCTCCTCCTCTCCAGCCGATACCCCAGAGCGGCTCTCAGAAGCCACCTCGTCTTGCGATCCAGGATCGCGCGCTTGCTCCTTGTTACCCTCAAGCTCGGAGAAGAGCTGATCAATCAGCTTAAAGTTAACGCCTTCGGGATCGTCGAGATCCTCAAGAATGAGCGAGTCTCTGAGAATCCCAAAGGATTCCGTTCGCGCTGTCGACTTGTTTGGGTTTTGAAGGAAGTTATTATCGTTGGGCTGGGACAGGTAGATATCTTGGTCCAGTTGGAGAGGCCAAGAGTCGTCTTGCGCAGCACCATTTGAATCCATTTCGCGCAGCTGCAGGGATGTTGGTAGGGGAACTTTCGAAGATATGAAGGGTGATGGCGAACCTTTGCAAGGTGGTCTTGACTTGGTTATTGGGTGGCGAGTGGGATTCTGCGATTTGAAATCCGACAGCGGTGTTGTCGAGGTAGAAGGTGATCGGTAGTAGATGGGTTTGAAGGTTATGTAGGGGGTTGAGTAGGCCTCGAGTCTCAGCTGAGAATCAGGGAGAAATCTTTCGTAACTTTTTGAATGCGTTTGGCTTTAGGTTCACTCTCACATGCTGCAGCTGGGGAACAGTTACTTCAAGTGTATCATATGGCATGACAGAAGGCTGCTTTCCCGGCCATGCTAAGGAGCCGAGACCCCTGACAGATCCGAGGGCATCGATAACGCGCAATGGTCGTAGTTTCTGTGATTCTTGTGTATAAATCTGGGCTCCGCTGGATAGATGCATATACACAGCTGCGGGTATGGGTTGCTGTGACATCAACTCTGCCACCATTATCCGCAATTCAACTCTGGTGACGACGCCGGCGCCCATGTTCATCGATGGCGATTGGTTTGGCGCAGATGTAGTCGTATGGGCAACTATGGCATCTAGGGGCTGGCATAGCCGCAGGAAGAAATCGTTTGGTTCATCGGTCCTAGGACTTCCTCGCAAACATGGTTCCCACTGAGAGAGTACCTTCCCAATCCCATGGGCAGGTTCCTATATCAAGTAGGCACTGCATGTTTCGACTTACGCGGAGTGAGACGCAGAGACGACCTAGCACCGGCAAGCAAAGCGTTGAGGCGAAAGGGCCAAATAGAAACATGTTCTACACTCGTATTTGCTCTGATTTCTTTGCATCTTCCAAAGATTCCGAAAGCCTAGTCATGCTGCTGTTTGTACCAGATATACAGTGGCAGAGGCAACGATCCTCACTTCTTTGATTGTGCTGTCGCAGCCGTAGCATTCAGATATGTAGCGCCGAATGGCGTTTTGATAACGAAGAGAAGAGAAGCTAGGCGTGTGGGTAGCCTAGTGGTTCCTAAGGGCAGATCCAACATGCAAGGCTGACTTGATAGCATCGAGAAGCCGGGAAGCAGCCGCTGCGATCACAAATTAAACACATGGTTCTGAAGTGTACAAAGGCAACGATTTGGCAGTTTGCGGCCAAAAAGCTCAAGTACCCAGACAAAGGATGAAAGCACCTACCACGAGGAAGTCAAAGAAAGACTTCCATAGGGCCGTAAGTTCACGACGAGGGCTTCAGTAAAGTAGGACTTACTCGCACTTAGGCTCCTTCGCTAGAGCAAACAGATTGGACACAGAGGAGGGAAACCGAAAAAGCAGATTATCGTTGAAGACGGGACAAACTAATAAGAAACCCCTACGCAAAGGCCATGATCAACTCAAACGAGATACGCCGTCGCTCAGCGTAGTATAGCACTGTACTTGCTAGACGCCGATCGAATTGCGATGTTGCTCTCCGCAGAAGGTCTGCCTTCTTATGCAATACACCCCCCGAAAAGCCATCGGTGTCTCAAAGGTTCAAAGGAATTTCATGTTGATTCTCGTATACACCCAAACACACTACCAGCCGAAAAACTATACCCGCATCAAGATCCGTGACCCGTCAACAATACCGCCTTCAAGTGAAATCCTTCCATCGAATCCGCATCTTCATGGATCTCATCCTTCGCCACGATACCAGCCGCTGTTATCGCGAACATGGGGATCATCGTATGTATTCCGAGTCGGAGAGTATGGGTTCTCGGTAACCTCCACTCCTTGCTGCTGGGTCGATGGAGAGGACCGACGTTGGAAGCTTTGCTGACCGAAGGAAGGCATTGCGAATGGAGCAGCTGGTTGGTCTAGATAGCCAACAGGCATGCCATAGCCATTCCCTGCTCCGCTGTTGGACGGGTATTGGAATTGCTGCTCGTTGCTCGACTGTCTGGAGTGGCTTTGGACATTCTGGTCGTCGGTTGTTGGAGTCGCGTAACCCGAATCAGTCGCAACATCCCGTCTCCTGTGGCGCTTTGAAGATGGGACGTTTGTTGCCGTGTCGTACGGATTCTCAGTCGCCTCACGGACACGCTTTGTCGAGTATGTAGTGCGATCATCGCCACTTGCGTCCTGGGCCAAAACAGAAGCTTGCAGGTTCGAAGTGGAGGAATTGGATGTGTGAGCACTGTAGCCACTTGCTGGAGTCGAAAAGGAGCTACCGAACAAACTGGTAGCAGAGCCAGATAGGTTGATGGCAGCGTTGTGTTGAGCTGGCAAGGGCTGGACATTCGCCGCTCCAGAGACATTTGTTGGATTCGCGAGCGCCTTCGCACCAGCCTTATTCTTGCGCTGCTTGCCGCTGTTGTTCTTCGCGCCGTCCTTACGCATCGCCAAGAGAGCTATCGGGTTCCGGGCAAGATTCTCCATGACGTCCGCCTTCCCCTCTGCAATCGACAGTGCAACTGATTTCATATTAACACAGTCGATCATGCGAGAGATGCGCTCGGAAAGCTTGAGATCATCATCAAGCTGCATCTTGGTAAGACTGGGCTCGATCCCCACGGTGTGTAGATCGTACGCCATCTCAATCGCAAGGAAACATTGGCTTTGCACCATCGAACAGCCATATGCAGTGCTGGAGATCTCGTTGAGCTTTGAGACTGCGTTTGCTTGGTAGGTCTGGTAGTAATCCACTTCGTGCTGCTTCCAGCTTGATTCCGGCGCTTGAGAAGGAATGTAGAGTGCGTTGAAAAGCACTTGGGCGTGGGCTGCGAGGTTGGGAATCTCTGCTGTAACATCATCATCCTTGGGGGCCACCCGTTCGAGATGTGTTGAGTTGGCGAGTAACCACGCTCTTGCCTGGACAGGATTGGTGATGGAACTATTCCACGGGAGGCTGGAGACATTCGTGGTGTTMGCCGCGTTGACAGTCTGCTGATGACTGTTCTGCCCTGCGTCCTCGTCTTGCTCCTCACCCTCCTCCTCCTGCGCAGCCTCAGCTTCTCCATGACCCTTTAAATCTGCCCGATCTTCTGCGCGAAGCGCTTGTTGACCCCATGGTGGTCTCAGATCAGTACCTTCTTGGACACTCAGAGAAGACTCTGACTGCGAGCGTTGCGCGCTCAAAATCTGGTCGACTTCAAGTGATAGCGCGGTGTACTCGGGCTCCGGCATGAGCAACGCCCAAGTGACCGACATTTCGCTGTCAGAGTCCCAAAAGCGCGGATATTRTGGCAGTTGGGGGTATTCAGCAAGCAGCGGAGAGGCAGATTGGCGTTGATCGTAACTAGGTGCATTGTTGGAGGCACTTCGAGAGACAGGGGTAGATTGATGCTGAGAGGGCCAGGCACCATCCAAATTTGGTGAAGGAGACTCCATCATGGAGCTCTGATGCGCGAACTCGGTTAGTGGTTGAATGAAGGGGAAGGAGATACGGACTTACTGTTGACTGGCAACTGTGGTACCAACGTGCGCGAAGCATCTCCACTTGTTCGAGGTTGCAGGGACCGATGACGGTGCAGCACAGTAGAAGAGAAGTTGCGGAGCGGTGGAGTTGATGTTTGGTCGAAATTTCTGTTGCTGTTGGTTATGTGTGTCGAAGGAGAGAGAACACTGAAGCTCTTGTAGGGGAGAAAGTGGGTACAACATTCAGCTGACAGTAAGTGAAGAATTGATCTTCAGCTGCTCTTCGGAAATCCGAGTGACTCTCGACCACTTCTTCGCCCATCGTCGAGAGACGAAGCCGTGATCATCTCAGCGTCGAGAGTGAATCATGGATGGAACATCGATTCCATTGAGTTGTCCAACAAAGGCGGGTCGGATGAGCCCAATATAGTTCATTCCTGGTGGTATACATTGTAGATTACAAAAGCTGGTAGTAGTAGCTATAGAGAAGAGACCTTAGAGGTAGAAGTCAAGTCGGCTGGAACGGAGGTATGTTGCTCCAATGCACAAAGGATGCTGAGAGGCAATCGCTGCTTGATAAACTTGTTCTCCAGCAAGCAAACAGAAGGTGGGTCTGAATCCTCCAACCAGACTGAAATTGCATGACTGAAAACCGTCGAGACCAGGCACCATACGTCTCGTATAGTACGCCGTGCGCGTTCGAACTTCTGCGAGAATCACTGGATCGTTCAAAGCAGGGCAATCTGTTGCGTGGTCTTGCGAAGAGCCGAAGATCATGTATACCCTTGCGAAGGGTGAGAAGCTGAGATTGCGACGGACAGGATATCGGTCCAGTTGATTTCCATGACAKCGTCGACGAGATCTCCTCAAAGATGTAGAGCCTTCCGAGCCTCGAGAGAACTGCCACTGCAAAACAGTGACCTTCCTTCGAAAGAACTCATGAAATAAACTCTGATCCCATGAATCCATGAAAAGGTCTGTCCGTCCGATCGCCGGATTGACAATCCCAGCTTTCTGGCCTATGTGACAGTGACAGGCTCCCAGCAGATGCAGTCTTTCGTAGAGTCTTGCTCTCGGAAGCTTCTCTCCGAGCAAGTCGTCCTAGAATCGTCGGCGGTGGCTTGAGTTCTGTTATCAAGTCATCATCAGACTCCATCGACTCCTCCATAATGCTAGGCTCGAATGCATGATCCGAGGAAGTCCTCAAGCTAGCACTTTCACAAACAAATCGCTCTGCAGTACCGCTTCTGGACGGTACACTTGAATTTGAGGATTTGCCACTGCTTCCACTTGTACGCCGCAGAACTGCTCCGACTCCGTTACGCATTGCTTGGAAACTTGTTCTTCGACTCCATGAGGACAACCTTCGTTGACTTTGTTCGCTGTGATCCGCATGTGCTTCCTCGGCGTGGTGTGATCCTCCTGTTCCTTCAACCTTGACATCGATATCTCTACTGCACGTGAGCTCCAGTTGAAAGTCCTTGACGGAGCCAAAAAATACTCCAGAGTCCGCATGGGGTGAGTTAGGTCGATCATTGAAGCTGATGTTATTGATGTTATCTGGTGATGTCGTGAGGTTGTCGAAGACGGGAGCGGCAGTTCTCTCGTAAGATTTCAATGCATCGGTGATACCCTTGGGCAGGTGTGATAAGTCGTACTCGTCCCGGGCGAGACCCTTTCTATCTGTATGAAGCGGTGGAAGATCGGTGTGCGTGTGTCGGGTGGGCATTTTGCTTCGRGACAAATCCGGACTTTGCCTGGATTCACGCAGATGTTGGCCAGAGGTGTGAGGAGGCATTGCATGCAGTGTAGCAGATCAAAGGAAAACGCAAACGAAGCCGTGGCGTGGAAATGTTCCTGCGAGTCTTCGCTACACCACATCCCCTGTAATAACGCTTGTACCAATGCAGTAACAATGGTGATCACTGACGCAGTTATCTCGGCAAGTCGTATCGACCCTAGCACGGCTTATACACGGCTCCAGGACGATCCTCGCTCCCGAGCTATAGCAGTAGGCGAAAGCACCGGAGCTCGACCCACATCGGGCCTTTATGCAAGCATTTCTTCTTCGCGAGATTTTCCGACCAATCATGCTCGTGTGGAATCTACACGGGTCCTGATAAAGTCGCTAGAAGTGAAACGTTAGCTATGGTCCACCTTTTCCGAACCATCATGATCGACGGCTTGGTATCCATGTCCACGGCGGTGAACACATCATCCTGCATCATCCTGCTGACCCTTGATATTGGGCACAGAGCGATGCAAGGGACCTCAGGTGCTCTGGATTCGATGTAACCTATTGTCACGAAGAATTCAAACATGAACATCTGTTGGACGATAAATGCGGTACGTCGGCGTGGTGATCAAATCTGTGTGAGAACAATATTCCTACGGTCCGACATAAAAACCAGTCGGGCCTACTTCTGCTAAAACGCTCAGATCGTGACTTACTATATCTCCGTTAAGTATCGTGTAGATGGGAGATGAGGACGGAATCGCGAGCTTCGGTCGCCGTGACAAGTTCTTCCAAAGWTATGATTGGCTGAACTCATCTTCTGTCCTAAACGATGACCGTGTATTCCTATCACAGCTGATTGTTCAGGAAKGCGTGCTAGCAGTTTCCCCGCATGATGTCGCTGCCCAAAAGCTTGATGCTCAGAATGCCTAGACGATCTCACCATAGGTCAAGGATATCTGACAAATGAGCGGGGACAACTACCTTGGCTGCCGCTGACAATATCGAAACTTAGATGGTACCTAGTTAGGGCTTACTCAGGCAAAAAGCCGCGATGGCCACAATTGTACCTCAGAACGCACCGGTCGGCCGCAGGAGCTTTCAATGGGATAGGTTCCAGCTGCGAGTGACGAGGACTTGAGTGTGGGGACTTGCAGGCGATGTACCTCTGAATCCTCTGACAAAAATCGTTCGAGGGTCGGTTCCACGACATACTCCAAAGCAGCCGTTCGTGAGAGTTCGTTTGCTCAACCCCGGAAACGTGAAGCCAGATACAGGAGTCTTGAAGGGTTGGAGCCCAATCGGGAGACTCGATATGTACAGCTGGCTTGTTCTTGCAAAATGCAGATAAAGCAGTGGTGATTGTCGAATGATGAAGCCAGGTCCGCTACATCCGGCAATCTTGATATCAACAAAGGAAGCATGATGAGACAAGTCCCACGTGTTTGCCTTCGTGTTTGTCTGCTATCTCGCATATTCAGCGTCGCTTCTCGTGGATACCTATGTCTGTCAGTGTGCTATGCATCTCAACATGCAGCTAAGACCTTCACCCAGTGAAGCCCTCGGTATACGGTATCAACCTGCATCTATACATACGGACAATCAAACGAATAGCTCACTCATTCGGTATCACTGGTAGAAGCTCCTCTCTGGAATGGTCCCCACCTCCCATCCAGTGCTTACCACAGAGCGGGCAAAATGGGACCTTTCCTTCGGCGCCCAGGAATTCGTAAGGCATTGATGGACCAGTAGCTGACTGCGATTCTGTCTCGCCTTATGACCGTTGAAGGCCGCCAGTCTTCAAATAGCCCGGGCAGTGACTGAGGTAATCCCATTTGGAGAGCTCCGGTTTCTACCTGCGACGACGCTCGGACCATGCGAAGCAAACAAACTCTAGCTCACGTACTTATGGTCGCCCACCAGCTTTCTTCTACCCTTGTACTCGGCCTCTCATTCTTCCTCAGTCACTGCTATCTCTGTGAGTCTTGGAAACATCGCCGCCGCCACTGATCACCGCAATCCTGACTGTTGCGCTGCGAGAAGAATGCTCCTCGTACTACACCCATTCGACGAGAGGAGTTGCAACGTGAGCAGAGATCTTGGACGGCCGACCGGAACCAGTATCGATTGAGGTAAGAAGCGACACTTTTGACGTAGCGGATGGATGATTGCTCACCGTATCGCGCAGTGCCTCGTCAGCGACCGGCAATCTTGAGGAGAGCAGCTTTCCTGTCCTCGGTCCTCGGAGATCAGTCCCTTGCGACCCGCCGACCGGTCCACGAATGCAAGACCTCGATCACGGCAACTCTGCCATGGACCCCGTAGAAATCAGATGTTCGTGTTCCGGAGGTGTCGCATCTGGCACGCAAGCAAGCCCGGCGGTCAACACAGCCCAATCAAACGACCAATCGATGCCCGCTGGAGATCGTCGGAATCATAGCGAAGTGTTTGGGCCAAATGAGCCAACTAGACAGTTCATTACAAGCGATACTCCGATGATGACGAGGGGTAAACACGGTCTAGAGGACGACGGTTTTGGCAATTTGGTAGCGTGGAAGCGTCTGAAGCCAACGTCCATCAGCCCCGGAGGTGGTGGTGGTGAGCGTGAGCACGACTACAACGATGCATACCGGCAGCCTCAGAGAGAGAGCCGCGGCCAGGAGCCTGTCGATGGTCTCCAGAACGGTGAGCTCTTCTCACCAAACCAAGCTCAGGCTGCAGTAAACATCCTTCACCCGTCGTCACAGTCTCAGTCCTTTCCTCGCCCGGGACCTCAAACAGCTCAGGCTGAAGACGAAGAARCAGCACAAAACCAGCATCCACATCATCTACACACCTTCAATGCAGATCGTACTCCTCGTCAGCGATCGGACAGCACGCCCAAACGACATATCAAACCGGCGGTATACTCAAATCACACTGCAGACTATCAAGTCGACGCCCTAGAGGTCGAAAAGATCCTGAAGGAAGCAGTGGCAGCAAGACGCAAACCTGACAACAAGGTGCGCAAGTTGCCCGAATCGGTCAGTGGTGGGAAGCCTCAGCACGGACAGTCATTCCAGCTACCTGAGGTTGATTTCGACGAGTATGAGCTTATCCAATAGAAGAGTAGCCAGCGAGATGCGACATCTCTGCTGCATGCTGATCGAATGAGAGAATTGTTGGGATACTCGTGTCTAGATGATACACGAGGCGTGTGAGAAGTTGGAATGGCTTGATTTTGCCCCTGACATGGAAAGCTGAGCGAAGATGGGGAGGCTATGGAATGCGACAACCGTGAAGAATGAGCTACTGCGAAGTTTTTTTTCCATCATAACGCCTTTGTTGCCTTGCACTCAGGAAACCTGAGAGTTTACGGACGTGCTCTGCGTGTTCAAGAATTGGCATGTGAAACTTGGCATCGCCACAGACCTATTCGCACTCCTCTCTTCTGCCTGTCCTATCTTGCTTTATATACCGATCCAGTCCTTATCATGCCGCTCTGCGATTGAGAATCGCTCTAACTATCTTACTGCGGGGTAAGTGGCACTCTTCCTTGAGCCGATCTTGAGCGGTGCTTGGCTGGGGTGCGTCTCAAAGTTTTGAGTTTGCTAGCGTAACGCTCCTGCGCCTCCGAAGGAGGGCCCGTGCCCCGCTTCACACTCGCCGACTGACAACAACGGATCTACTTCTCAACGATCGGTCCTGTCGGCTGTCTTGGAATCGTTGCCAGAAGTGTGTCGGACTATCAGAAAGACAGACAGCAGCCGCCAGCCAATACACGACACGGTGAGTTCGATCGTCCATCGACGACTCCTGAAGCCCTTTTCCGCTGACATCCATAGAGCCTGTGGAATCGCTGCAGTCTGTGAAGCACGGTGGAATTGAATGTTGATGAGAACAGCTTGTTCTTGAGCATCTAAGAAAGCGCCCGTATCACGGCGCCCTTCGGCATTGGTGTGGGCATTGACCGGCGGAGTCGCAAGATGGAGTTCAAGGAAGGCAATCCCTCGCCGCCCCATCCTAGCGCAAGTCTACCTGCGGACTCTACAGGACAGTATCCTCATGTCATGGCGCCTTTCGTCCGTACCACACACTACTCCACCACGATTGCAAATCCGGCATCAAGCAACCACACATCGAGTGCTGGTGACGGACGCCATCAATCTTCTTTCAACGCATATCAAAGCCACCAGGATGAATTCAGTATAGAGCACAGCCGTTCTCATCAGCCGCAACATCCTTTCTCGACCGCCTTAGCCGTCAACGATGAACCAGTACCTCAAGCCATTGCTACAACGTCTCAACAGCCATCAGCATCGGCTGCCTTCTTCAAAGCTCTTGCCTACTTCGGCAAATGGACTTTCGACTGCGCACCCCATGAGCTCGGCAGGTATGCCGCCGAGGCCTACTACTTCTCTTCCGCTGGGTTCACCGTCTGGCGGTTCCTCTCACCAACCGCAAAAGCCAATCTCTTGTCAAGATGGACAGAGCAGCTCACCACCCTGCGTAACGACGAAGATACTCCAGCAGCTCTTCGGCGGGCGATTGTGCATCTCGCCGACATGCACTGGGTGAACTCCGCGGAGTACTTGAGCACGCAACGAACGACAACACAAGGTCTTAGTCGTGGCGAAAAAGCTATCGAAGTGCTGTTCGGTCTGCTCCTTCACCGGGCACATCACAGTCGCAATGCGGAACAGTACATCGTTAGAGCGCAAGACGCCAGCCAGTCGCTGTTTACAGACTCGAGCACGAGTGCTAATGAAATGGCGCAAGCGCTCGGGCTGCTACGTATCCTTGGAGTCGCGCAGCCGTTCCAGCTCAGCTATGAGTGGGACGAGTTCAACGAGGAACTCGAAGATCAGTTGATTCAAGATGGTCTCCTTGTACATGACAACGACAGTGGATCACAGCACGCAACGAGCTTCTTCGGGACGCCCAACATCACTGAAGCTATTGGCGGGGATCTGCCCTCTAGTGTGCCATCGCATGCTACGTCGCCGCCGGCAGTCAAGTCTCCTCAACAAGAGCTTGGCTTGGAATCGAGAACAGAGCACGAGCACTCCCCTGGTGGCGCATCTGCTACTTCATCCTTCGTTCCATCTACTGCCGCCACATCATCTAAGAAGACTCCCGCAAAGATCAGTCAGCTGAATCCTCCGATTGCCGCCACATCCTTGAATGCAACGCCGGATGGCTCTAGTAGCACTGATCAACAGGCTGCGCTGGCAATCGCTAGCAGCAATGCGGGCACTTCTGCCTCTGTGCCATCCATACAGCCTTCATTCATCAAGGGCATCGGCGCAACCCACAACCTCTTCGCGGGAAGGCGCGCAGAGGCGGTAAACAGGTATCGCTACCCCTCTCGCACTCCCTTTAAGTGTGCGATGGACAACCAGGCCATCGACAATGTTGAGCAGAACGAGACGTTTTGGACAGACAAGTTGAGCGATGCCGTCCGCGCCGGACCCGTCCATCCGTCGGAAGACGAGCTTGAAGGCGTCGAGGCATTGGAGACATTCATCGAGAAGATGAATGATGGCACTGTTGAGGAGATCACTGAATCTCTCGTCTACATGATTTTCGACRCCGTCCTCGATTCGCACAGAAATGGGCACACGCTGAGCACCAAGGAAGTCAAGAGTGTTGAGGGTAACTCACCCATCGATGTCAAGAATGGTGACAAGCAGCTCACGATTGAGGCACGTCTTGGAGCTGTGATTGCCACACTACGCCAGAGCAAGCGTGTAGTGATGGACTGCTACAATTCCGAAAGCAAGATTCGGCAGATGGTCTACGGCCCCAACTTAGTCTGCAGGGTCAAGAAAGCGGCCTGGGTGTCTAACAAAGGCAGAGGCAAGGCTACTGCTACCAAGGCTTCCAAGAAGGGCAAGGTCAACGGTTAGAGCTCGACCAGGAACTTAGTCGTCGGAAAGATAATGGATGGAACGACGATAGTGTGCAGTCTAGTAATGGGAATGCTCGTGAGCACACTTCCGCCAATGTCAGACGTTAGCCAGCAAGTTTGATGATAGCAGAATACACAGCATAAATAACTCAGTGGATATATTCAGCAGCGCGCTTGTTCCCCATTCCAGAAGATAGAGATGTTGCTTCATCCTCATCTCCACCGCTCTTGGCGTGTCGGGSGTCGACGTCTGGAACGATCGTGTTCCCCGCGCTTGCGGTCCCAGGAGGAGTTCAACTCGGGGATCCAATTGCTCTCTACGTCTACATCGCATCTATCGAGCATTTCTTTACTCCGGCATTGTATCTCCGGACCTGTTCCTTAGCTGTCATCTCCTCTTGCCATCGACATCATCTCCGATCCAGTGAGACTAGGAGGCATCATGTATAGATGTATCCATCAGGCACCAGGAATATAGTGAGAGCGAGATCAGGAAAAGTAGCCATGTATCCATGGGCTTGATCGATCTCTGTGAACAAATCCACATAAATTGTTGCATCTATGACTGCTGCGTGAGCGTTGTCCTAGGTAGGATCGTCCGCAAACGGAAGTTTGTGTCATGAGCTCCGAAAGTAGGCCAGTTCTTTGTGTTTGACGGGAGTTCTGGTTCGTCGAACACATCCTACTACTTCTTCAAGCTGTTATACCATATGGGACCATCTAATTCTCGACGATACCTTCACTTAAGCTTCATTCATTCCCTCCTCCGTGCTGTATGACTAGATGCAATCATTGGGTGGCCACCGCCACGAGAGGTGTTAATTGACAATTACCAAAGAGCGGGCTTGGCTTCTCGGACGCTGTGCATTTGCAATAATGAGCTCTTTACCTTGATTCCAGTTCCCAGCAGGCCCGTCTGGCCTCTTCACAGTGCTATCCTTTGCGGGAGAGGCTCCATGAAACATCACATTGGAGTTGGAGGCTACGACAAAAGACCGCAGTCTAGGCTAGTCCTATGAATCAATGACCCGATGTATCAAGCTGCTTTCGACTGCACAATCTGTTCCCTTACTTACATAGAAAGACATAACGGAAAATCAAGTATGCATGCCGACCATTTCTATATGACTACTGCCAGAACCCCTGCCGTTGAACGACGATGGATGTGCTGCAGTCTACGAGTGGCTCCAGTCTCGTAATCAGCGGGGGATGTTGTTGAAACACTCCTATGATCCACTTTTGCCCGCCCCAAAATCAACGACGCACGTGCCACCTGCTGTGCCGTCCTTATTCAAGCTTCTCCACCTCAATCGATGTGAATCACCAAGATCTGTCCGYATCGATACATCCTACGGGTGTTGCTCAGCAACTCCATTTTCTGAGACTGTTGCCAACCATCCAAGCACGCCGCCTTGCTCTTCCACGCCCGCCGCTTCCCGTCTTCTTGGAGCCGGAATTGAAGACCATTTACAATCTACCCGGAGATCTACGAGCACAAAAGAACAGAGCCATTAAGGCTGCACTTGGAACAGTCTGTCTGCGAAAGTAGAGAGCCATTACAACCGCATCCGACGCAGTCCGACTGAACTCGTAGATGTCTGGCGTCCAAGGAGAATTTTCAGTAGACGACTTGGCATCTTCCGCCTATGGAGCTGTTCGACAGGACGAAGATGGGCAAAGTCCTAGTGAGCGATGCAACAACCCACAGCTCCATTACGGCGGTCCCGCGCAAGACACAAACGGCATGTCTGGTGCTGACCAGCGCTGGCTGAATGTCCCTTTCTTACAGAACACCGCTTTCCATCGTCATGACAGCACGCAGATGAGTTCCAGTCAACAATCCAATGCTGTGTACCTTGGGTCTCATGAAGGTGTTGAGAAGCGCAAAGGGTCATTACATGACCAACAAGCAGACTGGCCAGCGAAGAGGCTACGATCTATGGACCATGTTTCCGGCCCTGACATGCAGCCGCCACGCGTGGGCGCTCAACAAGATGCCCACTCGCGGTATCTGAGTGCGCGCCAGCAACTTCATCACTCTGGCGGGAGGCCTCCTGTCCCGGTCGATTATCAGCAACATCAGGATCGAGTGTCCTACACAGCTCCAGAAGTGCAAGATCGTATCCATTACAAGCAAGGCCAACACCACAACTACGAATATCCACACGACCAGTACCATGTCGAGGAAATGCGGAGAAACATTCGCACAGCATTCCACACCACCTCGAACTCTCAGCGCGGAATTTCTGACGTCTATCTGGAACAGCCAGACGATTCCTCGCGTGGTAATAAACCCGCAGAGATTCCCTCTAACTCTGGCTACTACCAAGGTCATTTGCAAGCATCCCCGCCTTCATACCCTTACAGTACTGTGGCATATCAGCACCCCCCAATCGCCAATCAAGCAATGCAGCAACACGGCCTCCGCGGTCAAGGTATTGGTCATAGCGCTCGGGTAAACCCCGAAGAAACGTTCGGCGGAGCGCAACGACAGGGAGAAAGTGGAGCATCCCACGATGGATATCAGTGTTTCTTCGAAGACATTGGCTTTCCGTTCCATGCGCAAGATAATTTGGACTATCCCCATCAAATCACAGAACAATTCGGACTTGCGGGCCAGCGCAGCACGTTTGGGCTCAACAGTGTAGGGCCCTCCAGTTCGGGCATGCTTGGTGCTCCGGAAGACGATGGATCGAGTGACCTTCAACACTTCCACAAGCGTCCAGAGGAGTCAGGTACAAGCGCCTCGCAAAACGGACCCGAGGAGCGCGAGGCGGCTGAGATGGCTGAGTTGTTTCGCATCAACGCCATGCATCCCAGATTTTCGAGTACAATCTCTTCCGGGAAGTACCTATCGCAGCTACCGGAGACTCTTAGCGATACCATTCATAGAGGTGATCTTGACCTCTTCTTGGAGTCTGTTGATGAATTGGCGGAAGTACCGAGCTCCAGCTAGCAATTGTTCTGGGAAGTCCTTGCCATAAGACTTATGTTGAGGTATTGGTGCTGCGGGACAATAATTGTACAGCCGGTTGGGAGGTAGGAAGCTAGAGACCGCCCTGGCGTTTGATTAGAACACATTGATGCCCATACGGCGAATCACCGCAGCATCTGTGGCAGTACGAGCGACTGTCAGACCAGCGACTTGCACTCTCTTAGAGTTTGAGGCATATATGAATCATGGCAAACATTGCTTGTTACAGCAATCTTGAAGGTGCTACAAATACTATTCCGTGCTCATCTTGGTCGCTCTTGAACTCACACTTCTTAGTCAGGACATTGCCTTCAAGCAAGACATAGCGGGCTTCAACCGATTCTGCTCACCTCACGACCTCCATGATAGTGTTTCCAACGACAAAATGAAGCAGTCCATGGATCGAGTAGGAGCTCTTCAGGGCTGCGCACTCGTTCTACACCCCAACCGTTTTGAGAGAAGCTATGCAAGGAGCGAACTGCCGTCTGATGAGTGAGTCTACATACATGGCGATCGATGCTTATAGATCAATGGTAGATCCTATATATAGCTATCCTACTGGAGGGGTCGATCTCCACGTCAAAAGTTCTTGGAGAAGGCCAAGGCAGAATTTGAATTCACTCGGCTGGCACGTGCTTAATCAGATATGGACTAACGTATACTCAAAAGACCTCCCCTCACGACATGCGCTTCCATCCTACACATTCAACATCTTGGCCTGTGGTACTCCCGCTCAATCCTCAAAACAAACTCGTAACGATAAATCTTGCACATTGACTCCACTGGACTCCACCTGCGCGCCCACTGCCGAAAGGATGTTCCAGTATCAACATCATCTTGCGAGCCAGCCGAGCCCGCAAGATCTCGATGACTTGGACGAGAGACGGCAAAGCACTACTTCCAGTGCCCTACAGCAAGACTCCGAAAGAAACTCCTTGACCACTAAGGAAGGCGCGCAGATGCAAACATTCTCCAACTCGGGCGGACAGACGCCATACCAGCATCACCATCGCCAGGGGATCGACAGCAATCCTTTGCCGACCGATCGCCAGCGTACCGCAAATCTGATCAATCCGACTGCGGAGATGATGCGYGGACTCGTGCTTTTTGGGAAATGGCATTACATTGTCGAGTGGAGCAAGGATCTAACATCATTCTCAGCTGCCCACCTGTGGTTCTACTCCACTGGAGGACTATTTGTGTGGCAGCTACTGCCGATGGAGAGAAAGGCAAAACTATGGACGACGTGGAACGAGCAGGCTATGGACCTTCGCAACGAGTGTGGCGCACGCCTTGCACTCTCAAGTCTACTTCAGCACTTCGCCTCCCTTCACGATACGCCGCAACAGGATCTCAAGGCCGTGAGGAATCCACGCCAGTCTGTGACAGATCAAGAAGCGGAAGAGATCGTCAACGTTTTTGAAATCCTGCTCTGGAAAGCCCGTAACGGCGATCATGAAGTACGGCCAAGTCTATCACTTGAGGGTACTGGAATGATTCACAAGCTGTGCAAGAGAGCAGGAACACCTTCCCACTACATCGTTGAGCTATTCTGCATCATGCGCTTGTGCGGTATGCCATTCAGGCTTCGAGCACCATCGCCATGGAGCGCCATGCTTGCTGGCCTAGATTTCCACCTTGTCCAGGGTGGTTACATCGCGCAAGACTTTGCGACCTCGCTACAGGACCAGTACTTTGCCGGCGAGCAGCTTCATCCAGACCTTGGATCGCAGAACTCATCTCCTAAATCCTTACACCACCAGCAGATCATCCGTCCCGCAGGGAATGCCAGTCAAGGAGGGGACGCTGGCGCATATCAGTCTCAAGCCATCGCGGCCCTTGTCCAAACCCAATCATTCCATTCAGGCCTCAACCAACCAGTTCTTCCACCTGTACCTCTGGCCACTTCTGGGTTGGCGCCAGTGGCAGCTCATCCTCCAGTGACACAAGCTAATCGTCTGCCGGGTTGCAGTTTCAACACTCACCTATTTCCAAATCTCCAGGCTGGGCTCGCATCCTACTACACTCGCAATATCAAAGTTTTCAACATCCCGCCGAATGACGATGATGTCAACACTGTGAAGCTCGATTGTCAGCGCCACGTCAACGAGCTATATAATGCCATGGTGGAAGACCCTATCTGCACAACGGCGGCTCAGACGAGCGGTGTGGACGTCTACAAGAAATACATCGCCGACAAGCTCAAAGACGGTCTAGCTGACGAACGTCATCAGCGACTTGCGTGGAGGATGTGGCAAGCAATCATCGAGCTGCACGAAACAGGTATGCACAACTTGGAGTTCGACGAGATCCAGGTCCATACCAATGGAACGCGAAAGAAGCAACTGTGGGCACAAGATGCGGCCTTGACTCTGCTAGCCCGCCTTCAAGCCGTGAAGGATACTCTGCGGCAATACAAGCTGCTCGTCAAGGATTGTGGACTGAATGAGCGCTGCATCCTGTTCGTGGCGTTCCAGCCATTCATGGAACGTGCGTTGAAGGAACAGTCGAAGGCCACCAACAAGAATCGGTGAGCGACGATACCTACAACGCAGGACATTTGGAGTTGGGAATCTGTATCAACGGATTGAGCGAACAAGGGTACCAGAACAGAGCTACGCTCAAGCAGAGCGGTAGCGGAGGACTGTTCGATGAAGGAATCATGGTCGCAGAGCACCTCGCCATTTCATTGACGCAAGGTCCGATTGGATGACATGGGCTCAAGAACGGAATAAGATACGGGCGGCACCACTCAAAGGCTCATGTTATAAACAATCTGCTCGTGGTGGGGGCATGTGAGGCTTTGGGTTGGGAAGATGCTTCAAAATCACAGACCTTCGATTACATAGCAATACATATGCCATGGTGCGAGTCTTGAAAGCTCCATCGAACGTTTTCCCCCAAACCCTCAACCTTCGTTCATATTTGTCCTCTGTGGAAATCAAACAAATTGGAAAGACGCATATATCTACTGCTGCAGACTTGTAATCAGTGCTACATGTGAACTTCCGTAGAGCGGCATGAAGATCCGTGGTATCTTCAACGCATCACTGGCACGGACCTTGCAGATGTATGTATAATAGGTGTATGCTAGTAGTGGTGACACTCGCCTTGGAGTAGGCAGCTTAGGTGCAAAGAGCCAAACGCCTAAGACCAATAGCGCGAAGCTTGACTGAGATCAAGATCTCAATGAAGAGGAATTACCGTCGTCGATCTCTCAGACTTCCATTCCCTTGCACGCTACGACCGTCTGAGTCCAAAACTACCAGCGTCTTACCGCGTATCAAAAGATCGGCAGGATATCCGGACCACATTGCGATAGGTACACCCTCATCTATAGCACGTAGACTGGACAAGAGATGATGTTGCTTTTACCGCGAAGTCCGAAAAAGGCTCGCTCCGAAAGCCGGCCCTATATGAGCCAATGGAAGCCATAGCCGTACTAAAGATCTCCAGAAATGGTAACAAACTCCAAATATGGTAAGGCGGATCTTGGCAGGAAGGAAATTCCGACGACATGCGTCTTTTCGACTTCACCTGCTCGTGACGTGTTCGTAGCGTGGAGAAGAAGCAGAGTCTCAACTACAGCCTACTATAGCACTACCACCCCGAGAATTCTCAGACGTTGCGAAATTCACTAGGCTCTAGTAAAAGTGTCACCTTCATGCGAGCAGATCTTTTGCAATAGCAGTAGCTCAGGATTGCCCTCTGGCCGCGTTGTCGATGAATTGCTTGCAGCTAGATCCTTTGCTTCGCATTTGACATGACCTTTGCCAAGCTCCACACAATACGGAAGGCGCCAAGTAGGAGGAAATAAAAGTCATTGTTAGCGAGCTTCTAAAGAAATTAGACCCATTGCCATCGCCAATCAAGACGTCCTCGGGAGCTGTGCCTAGCACCATTAGGACTATCGATTTCTTTGTTCCGCTACCAAAGAACGTTTCACTTTGTCCGCAAGCAAGAGATCTGTGAGTACCCCTAGCGTAGTAGCTATAGAGTGGTCGTCTCCATTCTGCCTCTTCATGTCACCCTCACCCTTCTTGGGTGGTTCTATTGCGCTGCCCGCCTTCTATCACCACTTAAGAGCTCTCCGGCAGTAGTACCAATTCTCCGTTGCCGGTGGCAGGTTCGCAATGCTGCTTCCTTACTACAAGGAGCTGAAAGACGAGATTGTTGCCTTACTCGGGGCTGATCAAGCAGCGGTTTTTGATACCCTGGGATTGTCTTCCAAGATGTCGACTCATGTATATCCATGCAGGAGGTATATTCCATTTCAAGGTTATACAGTTATCTACAACGGGGCTGCTTGCTCGTTATGCGCTGACTTGCCTGCGGTCTTCTTCGATGCTGTGGCAAGGATAACACAGGATGGATGCAGTCACCAGCCTCGCAATTTCCCGAAGGAAAGTAATGGTAGCGGTTCCATGCCGATGTCGATGTTCCCGCCTTCGGTACGTCAAACCAGCGAAGAGTCTTATTAGCCATGGCAGTCTTGATTCCAGTCTGCAGTTCTCAATGCTCCGCGTCAGCCGTCCGACAGTAGTCTCCCGACCGCCTGGACCTCGAATGAGGAAAAGTCGTTTCAAAAGGCATTGTGGAATCTTTTTGGCTTTTCAGGACACGTCTGTTGAATCGTTAACGCGACTGCCTTTTCATCACAACCCAACTTCTGACACACCACCCCATCAACATCCATCAAACCTGTACAGTCGGAGCTCGTCTTCTCCCCGCATTGGTACCGCGACCATTCCCCACGCCTAAGCCCTCCGATTCACCGTTCCCGACCCGACCCCTTGCGCTTTCATTCAGTCGCGTCATCCGACAAACCGAATGCAGTCATCAAACACCGCTCTGCAAGATCCTTTACGCATTGATCGCTGCCATCGCCAATGCAACTCTTGATCTAAGAGTACCTACCGCATCCCTTTTCGGTCCGCCAGAATGTCCTACCCTGACATCAACGATCCGGCGACGAGCGTCCCTCCACCCGTCCCCGTCAGAGCCTCGAGCGAGTCGCAACTCCATCGCGCAGGACCACCTGGTTCCTACGCCGGGAACATCGATCCGAGCTTGCGCGACTTTCTCCCAACATCAGCTAGCGACATACCATACCCAACGGTGTCATCCACGTTTAACCCTCAACAGCAAATGATGAACGCCATGTCGCACACCCAGAATGGCGCCCCGATTCGCCATGGTACCACATCCACCGCGGCAGCCACCGGTGCCCCTCATCTCAACACAGGAGATCGATGGTCTAAGCCCATTGCTCCCGCTCGGAAGCGCACACTGCTGGACATGACCGAGGATGAGAAGCAGTTGGAGAGGGAAGAGGTGAGTTTCAAGAGGCAAGCAAAGCCCGCCGAGAGAACGGTCCGCCAAGCCCGAGAGCAGAAGAGTGGATGGTCTATCAACACTCCTGAGACCTTGGGCGCGGAGCACGGAGGAGGAGGAGCCAGGCTAGAACCGCCTGTTCAACCAGAGGTCGCCGCCCTTCTCGACTTCTCTGACGATACCACCCAACTTTCGACCACGAGTCTCGACGGACCYCCGATTCTACCGCTCAGCCTAAGGGCTGATGTAATCGCCAACTCCTGTCCGGCTGTAAAGTTCAGTGCCCAACAAGGAGACAACAAACAGACAGCGGATGCAGCGGCCACATACTTTGTTGCACCCCCATTATCGAACCCATATCAGGCCGCCTCTGATCGATCAGCGCCCCACGAATGGTCATCCCAGACTCGCCCACCTTTCACTTTGCCTCCGGACAACGATGACTTGCAGGCAGACCCTAGATATGCACCTAGCTTTGCATCGCCATACCAGGGAGTGGGCCAGAGCAACTCGCGACCCTTCTCGCAGTCATCGAGTGCAGCCGTCCGAGCTCCAGGAACTCCAAATTCTAGCGAGTTGTTCCAGTCGGCGTCCTCCAGTAGCTACCAAWTCGACAGATTCTCGAGTCAGCCCAGGAACGAAGACATTGTGGRTGATCCTTTCGCAGGCTTTGCGCAATCGAGCAACTCGAATAACTCTTCGGATGGTATGCAGGGGGTCTCGAGCGAGCAGCCTTTCCTCGGTCCGGCTGTCGATGACTGCGACTTCTCACTAGTCGACATGATGAAAATGATCGAGGAGGGAACCGTGGATGAATGGCTCCAGCAGGAGTTCGAAGAGGCGAATCGTGGTCCAGATCCGTTTTCAAATGAAGCATAAGCCTTCAACCTGCGCATTGGAGTCAAGGAAGCCAATCAGATCTCTTCTGGACATGGAACAAGTGGTGGGCGCGCAATGTCGACTAAGCTTTGAGTCTGGGAAGGATGCACACCGGCGTAGTGCTAATAATCGACATTGGAGACGTGTTTCTGGTGAGCCTGGATTGAATGAAAAGTGATATCATTCGCACTAGGCGAATATTACTGCGGGCGGAGGGAGGGTCGAACGACCGTCAAGAATACATGCATAATGRCCCCAACTCGACATGAAGCAGCTAGTTACAAATATCGTGGCTCCACACCAGTGTCTTAAGTGGTTTTCCTTCGAACAAGTGACTTCGATAATTTACTGCCCACCACTTTACTGTGGCGCGGAACCTTGCATAGGCAACTTTCAATTACGGATCTTTGTATTCGGGCCTCATATGCGGTATAACATGACCTGACCGCTGCATTTAAGATCTCGCGTTACTGATGGAGAGGGTCATCATCCACAATAGGGGAATCAACCTGCCTTCTCAACGAAACAAGGAGCCCAAAAGTCTTTGCCTGGAGAACTGAGGAGCTGAATAGATTGTATTGCGCTCTGGGTTGTTGCAGACAGTTGTTGTATTAGTTTGTCACCCTTGTTGTCTGTTTGATACATGTACTGCCTGTTGTCCGTAAAGCAATCCAAGTCTGGTGTCTAGAGATCTTTTCGAATCGCCTTGCATAGATCCAACAAAATCTTGACTATTGCCCCTGTATACACATCACAGAGTTGTCCTCAGCCTCTCATTTCCTATACATTGTTGTTCTGATAGAGCGTGCTACCCATCAGAACCCAAGCATGTGATAACGCGGGGTCTTGGCGCCGCCCTACGTACGACGCCATCCACAACTTCAACTACGAGTGCACCTTTTCCCTCGACAATCTTCAAGACTTCTCTCATACAACAACTCATACGCGGAGCCCAACCCTCAACCAACCTCCCGCGCATCCAGTATGATCCTTCCCCTCTTCCTACGAGCCGTTGTCTGACACTGATGAGTTTTTGCGCCACAGTCAAACATGGATCAGTACACCGGCTTCCAAGATCAGGCAGACTCAGAATTCGTTACAGGTCCCAACATGGCCTCTTTCAGCGGCGCTGGCGAAGATATCCGCCACCAACCCCCAGCGCCTCGCATCCAGGACGCCGCAGCAATCATCGGCGCTGGCGGCTCTCAGGGACATCGCGCTCTAATTGGCCATTTCCAACCGCCATTTCGATCACAGGCACCAGTGCGCATGGCGTCTACCCAAAATGAAGCTTTGCGCGGTATGCACAGCATCGAGAACAGCCTTCAAGGCAATGGAATGCACTCGCAGCTTTTTCACCCCGACGCAGGCCAAGGCTTCGCGCCATCCCCATCGCAGCACTCTTCTCCATTCACTGGCGACGGTAGCCTCGCTCACCCCTTCCATATTTCACGAAGCTCGCCAATCCCAGAGGTTAGCGTCAGACCGACAGCGACCCCAGCGTCAGCGTTCTTGCGTCGCTTCGGAACTCTCGCGCACCTTTGCGAGAAGCAACAGACCCTCACAGAAGGAAACACATACCGCTCTGCAGCCAAGGTCTACTTCTACGCCTCTGCTGGGCGTGCACTTTGGAGATCCTATGATGCAGACACACGGTATGCGCTTTCAAACGGCTGGGACATGGACGAGGCAGCCTCCCACTTCTTAGTCGAAGCGACTGATGTTCTCACGGCTATGCGCAAGCGCCTTCACGACGTGCATGGGACTGATCGTTCCTCGAAGCCAATGTACTACAACCAACCATCATCACCAGATGCTGCAAATGTCAAGGAGTACCTCTTCGATCAGCTGTTGGCGAAAGCAAAGGATGGTTACCCCGCAACTGATCATTTCGGCATTCCTGTCGAAGCTCAGGTCGCCGTTGAGCAAGTCTTGACAGACCCCGAGTCACTTGGTGTGGATGCTGCCTACATCATGTAAGCCATTGTCTCTCCAGTCATTCGGAACGAATCATAGCTGACCAGTGATTTATCATTAGGTGCCTTGTCCGTGTGCTTGATCCTGGTTCAAGCCTGTTGATTGTGTCTGGCTCTACCATGAGCGGATTTGCTGCAATTCTGGAAAAGCAGCTTATCGAGGATGGATTTGTGCCATCCTCGCAACCGACTACGAGATCGGCAAGAGGCAGATCTCTTGTTCCTCCATGGAAGCAGAACATTCCTCCAGCCGCGCATGATTCCTCGAGTGGCCACAGAGAGATCCAAGCTTCTCCAAACCAGATGAACCCACAGCCAGCGATGGGAACCGACCCCGGGCCCTCTATCTCAGTCTCCACTTCGCAGAGCGCACCTGTCAACCTACCGCCTCCRCCTGCTCCCACCATTCCAATTCCGGCCCCCGCTGTCATTGCTCCACCTCCTCCCGTCGCCTACATCAATGGCCTCGGTCCAGTGCCGCAGACGAGGCCAATCACACGAGCACAGGCTGTTCAGGAATATCTCAGCAGATTCGAAAAGCCCGTCAATCCCCAGCTGAAGGTCAAGGAGAGCAACGCAAAACAAGCAGCCGACCTTGCGAACGTAACGCAGAACTTTGACTTCTGGGCGGATACGCTATACGAAGCAATGCGGACAGCAGTTCCGGGTACCTCGAGGTCCCAGACTACCGCAACTAACAGACTGGAGAAGGCACTAGCGGGCTGCATGCCGCACATCTCGCCGGCGGAGCTTGGCAAGCGTGTAACAGCACAGATTGTCAATGTGGTCATTGATCTACACACCAATGGTACCGAGCTCACCACTGCCGAACAGGTGAGAATCACCTCGAGAAGTGACGATGAGACCAAGCCAAAGGATCTGGCCTGGAACATTCAGGATCGACTTGGAGAAATCGCATATGGCTTGAAGCACTACAAGCTAATGGCGGCCGATGCTGTTGACGACTCTCGCTATGTGCACCGACTTGCCTGGGCACCTACTTCTAGCCGAGCAATGAAGGAGATGCATGGCAAGAGCAATGACACTAAAGCACAGACCAAGATCGACCGAGACAAACAGCTTAACATCCCAGCTGGGCAGAGGCGTGGACCGCGGACCTGAGAGTAAGCAATGCTGTTCGAGGAAGGACGATGATAGCAGGTACGCTTGGCACAAAGCCGGAGGTAACATGACAGGCGCAGGGAATCTGTTTTTTTCAGATCATAAGATCGAACTGGCCGCGAGGCATGGCGTAACTGTATTTTCGATTGCATGTTCAAGCGGTATCCTAGTTTCAGCAGAATCAACTCCGTGATTCGAGTGGAATTCAATTTTCAAACAATGAGGTAATGGTCGACATTGTCTTTTGTTGAAATGTTCATCATTGTTTCAGGGATTGGGAAGAGGCATGTCTTGATGTAGCAGCAATCCGCACGGAGGATACTCACACTCGTTGTTTGTTTGGGCGAAAGACTGTTGCATTGTCTACAGGGCAAACTAGAATGGGGGAATATATACCTCTTTCCACCAGGATACGCCGTGGGGCATAAAAACATCTATTCCGCATTCCATTTGATAGCCTCCCCAAGATTAAAGTGATCCAACTTCCAGCCTAGTATATTTTCTTCCTCTTCTAATGCACTATGTGAGTAACACTATTCAGGGTGATGCAATCTCACCAAAAGCGGGATATTCGTAAGAGATCGGATGTTACAACTACCTGGGGCCTGTTTGAGATGGAGCTAGAGATGAAGTGAATGGGCTCAGCCTCCATCTGATCTCAACTACTTTTCCTCGACAAACCACAGCTTCAGACACCACACGACTATTTCGCAACACCCGAGGATATCATCTTCAACGTATTACACCAACAGGCACTTCCGTACCGCCGCGAGCCTATCCCCTTGTGCTTTGACAGCCGCGAGCGATCGCCGACCCAACTCTGCCCGAGCGTCCATTTCTCGAACATTGAGCCACCACTAAGAGCATTGCAGCCTTCGCAAGAAGCTCGCACGTGTATGGATAACGCTGTAGTTGTCGCCGCAATGGCTTAGCTGATATCCGATAGCGTAACTCAAGTCGCGCAACTCTCCAAACTTCACCGAAGCGTCTTGTGAGCACGCTGCCGACTTCTTCGAACGCTACGCAAACAACTCTCTCTACCCTCTTTTCTCATCCAACCATGAACAACCAAGAGGAGGCTCGAACGCCGGCAGGCGCACTGCTCGTCGAAAACATCGATCCAGAACTGCGCATCTTCAACGCTCCGCAGGCCAATTCCTCTACGCGGGTCGATCTCGCAGCACAGGCGGACCGCATTGCTCGCGCAGCCTCGTACGCCGCGATGCGGCGGTCTGCCCCTATGCCACTCCCGCAAGCACCTTCTGCTCCGTCCCTGCAAGTTCGCGCATCTGATACCTCAACCAAGGTCGATTCAAGCTCCGGAAATTCAGGACCTGCCGATATTCCTAGCATTCCTCCGGACATGGCATCGACCTTTGAGGGCCGCAGTGACATCCTTAGCCACAAGCGTGACTATCAAACGATGTCGGGGCAGGAGACGGGCAAGACAAATAAGACCCAAAAGGAGACTGTCGCCGCTCGACGAAAGCGTATTGAAGAGATCGAGAAGGCCAAGAGCTCGTCTAATAGGGCCCCAGCCAGCCAACAAGCGAACGACAACCCAGGAAACCCCCAAGCTCCGCGCACCGACACCGATAACAGCGACGCTCTGGATATCTTCCGCAGCTTGAATTCATCGGTTCTTCATGAGACTACTCCGCACTTTTTGACATCAGCACCAGCGCAGCCGATCCCTCTCACAATGAGGGAAGACGTGATCAATAACGCAGTCCCAGTCTTCCAACCCAACCCTCCCATGCCTCGAGATATGCTACCAACACAAGAGGATGGAAGCTCATACCCAAGCCCATTCTCTGGGGTTAGCGACAACCGCAACTCGTACCAGCAACCCGACTTCACAAAGACATGGCAAGGTCCACATCCGCATACGAGTCAGTCGCGAAACTACCAAGGCCCTTCCCAACATTCCTACAACCTGTCGTCAAGCTCATCGCCTGGATACAACGGGTACTCATCTTATCCAATGGCACCGAAAAGCCAGACCTGGTCTCCATACATGCAGGACTCGTGGATGAGCCCAGCGCAGTCGCCACGCCCAATAATGACTGACCCTGACACTCTGGCCATGTCTGGCGGCAGAACTGGTTATGGGGCCGCTGAGATAACAGACTACGCTCCAACGCAAGATCCACCGCAGTGCCCTGACGGCTACAGCGTCTACGGTCAAGCAGATGGCGACGGTGGCAGCGAAACATGGGGCAGACCTCTCGGCGAATCTTTCCCTGAAGAACAACAACCACAGCTCCCAAGTCAGCTTAAGGAAAGCAGTGCTACGACCATGAAGTCAGCAGGTCAAGGCGGCAGGCAAGTCGACGGCCAGCTAGCTCAGGTGGGTAGCCTACGTCCAGACTCTAGCGCAGACGATGCCTTCATGAGAATGCTACAGGAAGCATTGGACGGCGAGTAATCAACGGTACTGGCCTAGCTACGGGCCATGGAGCCTCGATCTGAACATGGTAGGGACAAGATCTATAGCAGAAATCTCGAGCCGCGAAGATAATGTGACGCTGAGAGCCACGAAAGCGGGGCATTTGCCACGACTTTGTCGATGGAAGCATCGATCACGTATGAGGCACGTTTGCAGACTGAGCAGCGCTTGGTCCATAAGAATACTTCCTCGGCCGTGAAACTAGCGGTCCAGGACTCTACTACCCATTTCTACTGCTTGACTTCCTTCACGGAAGGCACTCTCGGCCATTTTGGCTTGTCAATTGACTCCAGATCTGCCTCGTAACTCACGATTTCTTTCTCGATCATTATACATTCTCATGTGCATGCTCAAGCCAGGAGTGAGCGGAAAGGAAATGTCACTACCCAAATTATCCTGAGAGATACTGAAYGTATAGTGTCGCATGTCTCATCCTAACACTTCTCGCTCTTGGTGGCATATAGGAGGATTGGTCTTCAATTCATGATATCCGGTCATCATCCATATTCGTTAAGAAGCTATGCTATGCGAGCTATCGAGAGCAGCAGAGCTCGAAGATGGCTTGATCCAGTGGCTGCTAGAGGCTCAGTTGGAAATCATCTGAAAAATAGTTCTTGGAGCCTGCTTGTAGGTGTTCTACATCTGCTATGGTACCCGATCGCTGGTCTAACTCATCTACTTACAGAACGACAGAGAGCCATACGAGCTTTAGGAGCCTGTCAACGGATATTTTGGACTATGTATAGGCGTAGAGCCCGCAGTTGGGTGGGTCTGTGCCGCCTGGTCGTATCGAGAGGGGGCGAGGTTCTTGTTCAACATCGTGGATGAACCAGAGTCCGAACTTCTGGAGTCGTACGCCGACTGTCTCTCGCTGTTCGGCAGCGCGCTTGACATCCAGACCGGGAAACGGTGGTTGGCCACCTCATCACTCAAGGTGACCGGCAAAATGGGTAGCATGTCGGCGCTCGAGCGGTTCGAAGCGTTATGCGTGGTCAAGGACGGAATGGTATCCCCTAACATGTCCATGATATTTGCGACATCAGGATGGTAAGACCCCATCTGGGAAGCTACTCCTCCACTCTCAGCGYTCATTGTCTGGATACTGTTGATTGACCACCCAGTCTCCTCCTCGAGAGCTCGACGAGTCTTCTTCTAGGCCGCCGCAGCTTGCAGGCTGGTCTTGAGCTCCCTCGAATTCTCCTGATCGTCTTCCTCATCCCATGTATCCGACTCTTTGCGTTTCCGACCAGTAGCCACAGCATCGGCACCTCGATCTGCCTGCTCCGGGGCACGAGGCCTCACAATAGGAAAAGCGTTCCGTTGAATTGCAATGTTGTTGTCGATGGGAGATCCGTCGCCGATGAAGTGCTGAGGAAGRTGCGACGGTGGAGGCATCGACGTGTATGGGTTTCGATCGAATCGATTCGGTGCCCGCGAGATGCTGTGTTGAGGATTGGTCTGCGTGGGCAAGAAGTCGCGCAAGCTTGGATCGATGTTCTCCATTTGCAATGCAGGGCGTCCGGGCGGTTGCGGTTGGGCGATGTTCGGTGTCCCGCGGGAAGCAGACAACGTATTGGCTGCGCGAGGATTGATGCTGTGGGCGTTGGTCCTGTGAGTTGCTGTTGGGAGCTGTTCAGTGCCCCGCGAGAAGCGACGGGGATGTGCTAAGGTAGGTGTAATGTAGTATGTAGCGATGGGTATAAGGTCGGGTAAGGTTGATATAGTACCGGCGCCGTGCTGATTTGGATAGTGCTTGAATGCTTGCAAAGCTTGTCCGGTCTTGGACCTAGATTCTGCACCGATAGCAGGACCGAATGAATTACGACGGCTTGGAAGCACGAGCTGGTTTCCAATGCCGATGGGCGGACGGTATACTATTGAGTCGGAGGGTCGTCGTGAGCCATCTACGACGCGAGGCCGGATCACTTCACGGAATTCGGTAATCTTTGCAAAACATGATAAGCAGGCTTCACGACGGCAGACGAGGACCAAGCACACCTTCATTTTCTGTCTCCATGCGAGTTGTGCCATGTCCAAGCATTGATGGGTAGCGAACCGGTCTTATTATAAGCACAATATGAAGAGCAGGAAAACTCGCTAAGGTGTCTCCGAAGGCGCGAAGGATTACCCATAGCTCCTTGGAATAGTGCCTCGTTCTCTACATTTAGAGTTGAAGCCAAAGTGTCATGGTCGTGGTCCCTGCGAAAGATCTCTGCTTAACGACATTCTACTTGGCTGATCTTGGGTAAAACGAATAAATAGAGTGAGGGGAAATCGAGCGGAACGGTTGAGAAATCGATTGCGGCCGCCTCTGGCAATCGACTCAAAGCACAGCGACTGTACGGATTGCCATTCAAGCATAAAGGAAACCAGTTCTTTGTCCGATGTAAATACACATCAGTTTGTGATAGACAAGCTCACCGTAAAGTTTTGCGCCGGTCTCCAAAGGGGTATCAACCAAAGACTGTCAAGCGCAAATGTTTGCGGAAAGCTATGACTAAGTGGTGTGTCCCGTTACTATCACAAAGTGATCTTTTCACTGCCCAGTCGTCTTACCAGCTCGACGGGAGGATCACGGTGAATTAGGGACGCTTGTATCAATGCTCCATCATTACATCCGGACAGGGGAGAAGAGAAAGAAGACTGCCATTGCCAACAAGATCCGAAATGCTATGAATGGGCGTACTGAATGGTCGAATGGCAGTCTTGAGACGTTTGGCGCATAATATGGCATTGTACAAACCTATCAGCATGTCCGGACGCTGACGGGGCCACCGCACCGAGTCTTTCTGATTATCTGATCCCAACATTGTGCAACGAGGCAACTGTTGACCTCTCGGATACTGCATCAAGACTGAAGCTCGTCATTCATGGCCGCCAACGCAACATTCACGCTGCGCGTCAGCCCTCTACCCCGGTGCTCCCCCTTCAGCCTCAGAAAAATACTACACATCTTCCACCAAAAGTATAATCACCGCTCCAACTACCCAAAATACATGTATATCGAACGATATGATGGGTCGAGATGCACTCGATTGGGATTTTGGGAGAAAGCTCGTGGTCCCTTGAGATTTGACATATGACAGTCCGTACACGATTCTCTTGGCGTCATCTTCGTACACGAACTTCAACAATCTTGAAGCACGAACATACTTCCAACATCAAACAGCTCAAGCAACCAACCACATCTTCAGCACCGCGCATTACCAGACACCCATTGGCCTTCCTGTGCGCTTCAAGGTACGGTCTGCCCGCGCTCTTCGAGCCATTACAAACACCAACGCCGACAAACCACAGAGAAGATGGACCGTGATTCCGAAATGTACAGCTACTCCGACCCTGCTTTTTCATCCGGCGCTTATGGAGCGGGAATGAGAAGCGTGAGCGAACAGGACACCATCTCAGCACCTTTGCCTTACGCTTCAACCGGCGCGGCAMCTTTTCCTCTCCGCGCTGATTTCCTCACACAACCCAAACACTCGAATAATCACCATCATGTTGGCCCAATGAATCCTTCAGACGGAACCCAAATGTCAACTCATGGGAGTTTGGCGCAACACGGTACCTCGCAGATCGGCAGGGACGTTACGAGTGCAGGGCGCGCTACATCATCCTTGCAGCCCTCGACTACTTCTCATCATGATGGTACTCCCGCAAAGTCATTCACTCATTCACATCGAATCCCAGACCTGGAGCTCAACATCCCTCCTCCTGTTACCCGAGCCTCGCRATTCATACGACATCTTAGACAGATTGCGCTGGAGTGCGTGAAGCACGGAGGCGCGGAGGGCGAGATCTACCGCTCGACCGCAATAGTATACCTCTATGCTTCCGCTGGTCTTACGCTATGGAGGTACTACGCGCCAGAATTGCAAGCTTCGCTCGAGGACTCCTGGGACAAGGAGGAAACGAACCCGATCAACCTGGGAGAAGGCTCTCAATACCTCCACACCATGCGCAAGCATCTACATGATGTCCATGGGCCTAGGTCTGCGAGCCAAGCCTACGTTATGTCGCAGCCCGCCGTGCTTGTCACAAAAGTAAAAGGCTATCTCTTCGGCCAACTGCTTCGGAAAGCGCAGGAAGACGGGCTTGCAACAGACAGGTTCCAGCTCCCTGTCGACATGCAAACAGCCATCGGCCTGGTCATGGGTAATCCCGACACTCTGCGCTCAGACGTTGCAGAGGTCATGTAAGTCATTTCTTCTCTCTGTCGCCAAGAATGAAATACTGATCCTTCTCTATAGGTGCCTTACCCGACTGCTTGACCCAGGCTGTGACTTCTTGGTTAGGCMGGAGTCAATTATGAGCACGTTTGCCGAAGCTCTCCGCGCACAGCTTGACGGCGATGGCTTCACGCATTCCACAATATCTGCTCCAGCTACGACTTCCACCAGCAGCCAAGAGGACATGCAGGATGTTCATATACCCAGATTTTTGGAGGGTTTCGGTCCGATGCCACCACGTCACCCAAGTACAGTAGACGAGGATGCTGCGGCATACGACAGCTACTTCACGACGACAGCACGGTTGAGGCTTGAGGTCAAGGATTCGGAAGCCAAACAAGCTTCTGACCTTGCGGATGTGATAAACAGCTCTCACTCCTACCAAAGGCAAATCTACGAGGCAATGTGCATGGAGCCAAGTGATCCCGTAGCGACAGCAAAGGCCACAGCMAGCTTCCGAAAGACTCTCGAGAGTTTCAAGCCAGATCTTGAGCCCAGCCGGGTGATGATGCTCACAGCCATGAAGCAGCTGACTGTGATCATCGATCTTCACCAGAATGGGACTCAGCTCTTGACGCGCGAGAGGAACCCTATCACCGCAACTGGCGACAAGTATGCTAAGAAAAAGGATCTGGAAATGAGCATCAAGGATCGCATTAACGAGGTGAAGAAGGCGTACCGGGAGGAGAAGTTGATCGCTTCGGATTGCTGCACCGAACGGACTAAGATCCATCGACTGGCTTGGAGTCCTACAGTCTACCAAATGATGAAGCGACATCATGCTGGGAGTAATGACGTCAAGGCAAAGAGTAAGAAAGACTCTGATAAGGCGCTGGGGATTACCACGGGCAGACCGCGCGCTCCTCAGTAATGACGTTGCCGTAGATGAATGCACAGAAGGCGGAGGAAATGCATCGATGGTGAGAAAGAGTCTGTTGCCTTTTACAGGAAGAAGTGCACGCTCATCCATAATGTTTCATAGCCTGCGTCCACTGCGATGTTACTCACGACCCGACATAAATGACATGACATTACAAGGATTCCCCTTTCTTCGGTCTCTACCCCAGCACATTGCATCGCACGTGGCTTTTAATTTCTTTGTTCCTCTGTATCCTGTTTTTCTACACGGCCCGGAGTGTTTGTTGAATGCAAGCCCGAAATTTGCCATCGAGCCTTTTTAAGCTTCCGTTCTGATAGACCTTTGCTATTCCATCCTTTACTTTCCTAGCTGCAGCCTACATGGCCAAGCGGTCTGTCTTCGTCTTGTATAATGATAGTATTTCATGATCTCCTATATTCATTTGCGAAGTAGGACTGAGGGCGAGTGGACCTCAGCTCGGCAGAACTTGACTGGGTCGAGAGACCTGCACGCCTTGCATCGGATAAACAATTACCTGACATATTTTGCGGGATTTGGGCAGAGCGATGACTTGTTGGAAAGTTGGAAAGAAGCCATTCAGGAGGGATGAAATGGAAAAGACAATTTTCAGGTCTTCGAAATGTCTTGCACCGTCCCAGGTCACCCAGCAACGCAAAGAGTCGAGCTGCAGACTTTCACTGCCTAGCCCCAGTGAGAACAGAAGAACTACTCCCCGCGCCTCAACACCCTCTTCCACTCGGATTTTCCCAACCGCGCATCTGCCTCCTTTCAAGAGTCTTCCATTCTCATTACACTCAGAGTGGTACAGCGTATTCATGACGATCTGAGCCGACCGACCACCACAGTCTTCTCGAAAGGAGCCAGCCTACCCTCCAGTGCCAGATTAAACGGCGCCGAACGGTATTTGCCGTGTCCTTCCACCTGTGTTCATCCTTGACACCGTTCAACATGACTACCCCGTTCCGTGGAGATCCGGGCATGGAAGAAGACGACACAGAGTTGGCCTCTTTCCTCCGGCGACCGTCTCAGGGAGAGACGTCCACGAATCAGACTTACACCGCAGCGCACGCAAGTACCGACTACGAACCGATCATGACTAAGGGCAATCCGTACTTCTTTGCTACCGCGCGGCTCAAAGACAATCTTGAGAGTGGGCGCCGCGCCACTTCTAAGCAGATCAGCGATCCCTCACGCGAGGGTACTCAAACTTTCATTGCCTCGGCCTACCACTTCAAGCAGGGCGACAGCATCCAACCCGACATCGCTACCGACGGCCATCATGACTACACAGCTCAGGATTCTGGTCAGATCGACCCCAATATCCTGCAAAGCGCCGAGTATGAAGCATCCCGCGCTTCCTATGGGGGCAAGTTGCGTCCACAGGTTGGACTTAAGCGAAAGCCAGTCTTCCAATCGGCAGATGAAGGGCGAGCCCACAAGAGACCACAAGCTACGCCAGAGCAACACTCCGGCAATGAGATGTCGCGCAAGCAAACCCGAGGAACTTTGGTGGCGGCGGGCGGCTTTGTTGGACTCTTCCCTCAGCAGAGCTTGGGAAGCACTTTGCAGATACAGGCAGCAGATACTGGCGACATGGTTGGGCAGACTGGGATGGAGAAGCAAGAACATGACGAGCCTGATACCCGCAAGGCGAGAAGACAGCCTTCGAGAGCAGAAGTTGAGGATTTGCTAGAAATGACCCACGAAGCCGATCTCAGAGCATTCCGCAAGCAGATGATCTCCCGCAACGGTCTTACGACGAGCGGCAGGGTCAAGACTCGCCCCTCCTCTGTCATGGAGGCACTCGGAGCCAACGATGTCCCAGTTCTCGTACCAGAACATGAGGTACAATCGTCAAGCGTTACAGGTCCAACGTCAAATGGTGTACCACCTCTGCAGAAACAGAACTACGACGACATGAGCAACTCGCATGCTTCCAACTGGGATCCCTCTTCTCGGGCGAACGGCGTGTACACCGGCTATTCATCTAATGAACCTCAGCCTGATTTGCGTGCGCCCAGCTATCCAATCACTGGAGGCACGCAGATTCCCTTCGACCACCCATCAAGACAGCATCAAGCACTCATTGGAGAGCAGCGCTCTGCAGCAACGGCGCAGTTCCAAGCGGCGAGCACATCGGGATTGGCTCAGGCGGAGGAGGCGTTCACAAACAGTCTTGATCCATTCGATACCGATTCATCCAACCTGGACTCATCCTTTGATATTGGTTTACCTACAGACAGAGATCAGTGGACTGGTGGCGACTTTGGCTATGGTGCATTCAACAGACAAAGCGGTTGATTACGAACCGAGGGAGAATTGGCCTGCCAGTTCAAGTGCTGGGAAAGGCATACATCCCAAGAATAATTCGACGAAGCTGGAAGATGTCATGCCGACTAGCGATAGGAATCAATTTACAATGCAACATGTTTAAGTGGGATCACTGATTAGAGGGGGTGCTGTTGCGTTCGGAGGGTACGAAATCGAGTCGATCGACAAGGAGGGGAGCTGGATCCATCGCGACGAAGTCCAGAGTGCTTACATGCATTGAAGTGGCTCTTGATGTTGCGATGACTGTTCTGCACCTGAATGATATTCTTTAAAGCGTTTTTGTTCCTTGAGTACCTTACAGTTCTTGTACAGGCTTCAGTGTGTTATCACGTCTTGACCGTCATCATGGGTGTTTTCATATGGGCATGCTCTGACTTCAACCCGCTCACAAAGAGTCCATTGGACATCTTCATGAAGGCCTCTTCACTGGTATACGGCAGACCGTCGAGTTGCTTCCCCAAGTGCTCGAGCTATCAGCCTCTTCTCTGAGGCTGGATGTCTACTTCACGGATATCCCTCTAGCGAGCTCCTATAGTTGTTCGCTCTAATCGAATGTTTGAGTCATAGAGTTTGCTGGTGTGAATTATCAGTGTCCTGACTATCAACCGAAAGTCTACCATTTCTTTGTTCTGACCTTTAAATCGGATTGTCTGTTTTCATTGAGGAGCCAAGAAGCAAATAAAATGAGTCCTAGTCCTCACTATAGACTTAATCTGCTACCCCAGATCTGATTCAAATGCTTATACGGAAGAGATCTCGTCTTCTTCCATTGAGTGAAGCCGCCGTGCTGGGATATATATGCAGACCGCTTCTACTTGTATACTTCTTGTCTGTTCCTCTGTTCGAACATACAAGAATAGAGCACGACAAGCTCAATATTCCTGGCTCCTAACATCAAGCTGGCTCTTCATGACTATATTTGAAACCGTCCTCTCCATTTTTCGATGGATACAGTTTGTAATCCCTTTAGGTTTCCACGTGCAGATCGTACACGGGCCGGGCCATATGTGATGTTGTTTCAAGCGCGCGTCTTAAGCATCACTCGACAATCGGCATTCGAACTTCTTGTACTGGAGACCCACTCTAAAAGTCATCTCCTTCTTCCGACATCAAGAGAGCAGTCAACAGTGCTCGGCCCGGCCCAACCAGTCATCTTCTACTCGACTCGTTCTGAGACCCTGGCCCCGACAGAAGTCGAACGAAGCACATGCCAATACTTCCAATATTGATCTTGCCTCCGCGCACATCTCCCAGACTTGAGTCAATGTCTCACTCAGCCGCGCAGGGGATTGAAAATTGCTTCCGACCAATGCATCAAGAACTCGGGCATCATACACCAGATCGCCGCACATCAACTCAGATGCCACCCTCCACGAAACCAACATCGCAGACTGCCGCATCCGAATTCTTTCGAAAGCTCCATAGCATCTCTTCCCTTGGTGCTGGAGGCTACGATGGGAGACTTACACCTATCTATCGATCGATTGCGCGCGTCTACTTCTTCATAACAGCCGGCCGTGTGCTCTGGAGCTGGTTCGATCCTGGCAGACGTCAAAGCCTGCTCGTTAACTGGCGCCGGCAAGCCCACCAAGTAGAGATTTCCGATTTGTCCCAGCTCATACTCACAACCTACCTGAATCATCTCGAGGGTATCATGGGAGAAGAACAGCCAGAGACGAACCTTGGCAGTCTCTATATCGACGAGCAAGAGCTCAACCCACATCTGAAGCACGAGATGTTCAACAGCTTGCTCAAGGCCGCCCAAGGTAGCGCGAGAGGCTCGATGAAGTGCTCGGATGAATGGCGGAGCTTGATCCTCGGAGTCCTGTACGATGCAGGAGGCTCAGTTGACGATGTGTACGAGGTCATGTAAGTGCTTTTCATGCCACACCGTATATGAAGGTTCCACTCGCTAACGATCTTTTCTCTGCTTAGCTGCCTGACTCGTGTGATGTTTCCCGGTGAAGTCCTCTTGACGGAGGCTTCTTCGCGGTGGAGCACCTTTGTTGAAGACCTCGAAGAGCAACTACAGATGGATGGCTACAGCCAGACTTTGGAGATGCAGAAAAGTCACCTTCATCAGCACTCAACTCAGTAACTCGACGCCGAACAACAGGCTGGCGGAGTCGAACCTCTGCCTTCTGAGCCTGGGCAATTGAGTCTTCGGCCGCAGAATCTTCGTGGATCAGCTTCCGATTCCTCCACGACGTTAAACGCCCCGGATGGCTCTGCTCCGGGTTCGATACGACCATCACCTATTGCCATATCTACGAACACCAGCAATCAAGTCGGATTTTCAGTCCAGGATCCAGATCCTGCACCCCTGGTCAATGTAGCAGCAAGCTCGACCCAGATCAACCCACCGGACGGCGTACAAGAGTATCGCAGCCGATTCACTACGCGGTCGGCAAGACTGGAGGTCAAGATATCCGCAGACCTCCAGAAGCTTGAGATAGCTGATGTTGAGAGTGACTGGGAATCCTGGCACGGCAAGCTGCACAATGCCCTCAAGTCCAGTCCAGTGAATGGTAACACCAAGGAGACGGCCGCCGCCAAATCGTTCCACAAGAAGCTGGCTAGCACCGGTGGTGCGTCTGAAGATCTCCTCCTCGAGACCGCAGACTCTATCTTGGCTGCCGTGGTCAACTTGCATAGACATGGCACACCCTTGAGAGTAGATGAGCGGGAGACGTTCAGAGCCAAGAACGACAGAGACATTCGAGCCGCTGACCTGAGCTACGGCATCAAGAACCGTCTGAACCAGATCATTCCGATTATCCGCCAGAACAAGCGTGTCGCTTTGGAATGCGTTTTCACTGAACGGACAACCGAGTTCTTAGCCTGGGCTCCGGGAGTAATGCTCGCGCGAAGGAGTCTGTGGGCTCAACTCAACCTGAAAAAAGCGACCAAGCTCAAAGATCTCGAGGCAAAAGTTGGCACAGCTTCCAGCGGTAATGCTGTGACGCACCAAGATCAGGAAAGTGAGCAAGACTCTGATGTGGATGGCGAAGCTGAACAGGATGCTGGCCAAAGCGGAGAAGATGAGTGAGACGAAGATGGTGAGGCGGACAGTAGTTGAGATGGGGACGCAGTCTGTTAATATAGTACATGACGGATGAGTAGTGGTGTGATATGGAATTGGACTTCATGACTGCGTTAATGTTAACGAGAGCTCACGTAAGAGCTCGGTTGGACATGAGGCCGATGTAGAGGCGCAAAGTTTAGCCTACTCTCGCGGCAATTGATTCGCGCCTATCTCATGATATGCATTCTGTACATGGTAGCGTAAGCTTCAAGGTGCCAGTAAGCCTTTGCCAATAATGCCTTCTGCTTTCATCAGCCTTCCGTGTTGCTACGTCCCATGGTATGCCACAAAGGACCTAGCAATCACGGCAAACATACTATTCGAGTGATATAACGACCAGTGCTCTGTGCCATGCTGAGTTTCCTTCTCACTACACTTTTTCTATGCTTCGGGCGGGCAATTCTGGTGGCCATGACTTGCGATGGTCAATGGCCAACATATCGTTTCTCTATAATTTGGTCAAATATTATACCCTCCCTTCCAGCAAATCTATACACATTCAACGGCTATATAGTTTTGTGGTATGAAGGTGTGGAGTCCGAGCCTTGGCGTTTCACATGAAAGTGGGCCCTAGGCACTGTTTCCGTTACCTCGAAGTTACCACTTCAGAATAACATCAAGACTTTGCACGGCCAGCTCCACCATCAGCACAAAGCTTCCACACACTCAACACCCCCGCGTCTTCATCCAGTCACGAAGAGCTTGTTACATCCGCGTAGCATGGCTGGAACAGACCAACACAGTGGTTTCTCTACTCGAGGCGGCTCGCGCTTCGCATCCGCACCTCACGAGACTACTATCCACGGTGGAGACAGCGACAATGATCGTATCTCCACGCCGACGCCTTCTCCTCCCCGTCGAAATGACATGACTCGCAGAGATCTCGTCGAGCTCCTCACAAACCGACTACAACCAGAGCCACGGTCAGAGTCAGCACCAAACCCATCGACAGCGCGCGAAAGAGGCCCTCGTCCAAGGCGCGCGGAAGAAAGCGGACCTCAACGCCCACAACGATCCAGTGCGGGCGTGGCGCCGCCGTCTGCTACCCAGCCTCTGGCCAGCGCAAGTCACGCCCAGGCGCAGGTTGCAGCTCCGCCAATGGTTGGACCCGCCCAACAGACAGAAGCAGAGTTCTTCTTCGAGCAACTCTCAGATCTCGCGAAGCAGAGCACTTCCTCAGAAGACATTGCCACGGCAAAGGCGTACCGTTCGTGCGCCAAGATGTACTACTACTCAGCAGCGGGCTCTACTGTCTGGGAGGACTTCACTCAAGAGACGCGCGAATCTCTTAAGCAGAGCTGGCAATCGCAGATGTTTGAGGCTGGTGGCGTCGGAAAAGCGGTCAACCTCATGCTCGAGTACTTGATCCATCTCCTGGAGGTTCACCAGGAGCAATGGCCCGAAGTTGTCCCTGCCCCTACTAAGACGACTCGAGAGGTAGTATCGACGAAGGATCGTATGTTTGACATGCTTATGACTACCGCGATCAGAGGGCGTCACAACGACGAACTCGCCGTGCGGAACGCTCTCCATCAATTGCTGGACGAAGGCGCCTCCGATGATGACTTGATTGATGCTCTGTAAGTTCACCTTTGCGGCATTCCAGTAAAGCACAGCTAATACCCGTTTGCTTTAGCTGCACCTCTCGCATAATGTACCCAAGCAGACCATTGTTCGATGAGAGCTCGCTAGATTGGGCTGCACGCCTCGAAGACCTGAGCCTATTCACAGCAGATCTCGGCGCACAGCTTGCAGAGCAGGGGTATCTTTCCGTGGCGCYCTGAGCATAATATGCAGAAGAATGCGAAGAGATTYGTCGGGGTGATAGGTCCGAGCTCGGAAGGTCAGTGAGGCCCAAGATCCGACATCATGGAGGGTATGGAGGTAACCTGTCTGACAAGGAAGACGAGGACAGTAGCGCAATGGGACCACGAAGTGTCCAGTAGAATAATCGATGAGGATAATGACGGTGACCGGATCTGACAGCATGTCGGTGGAGCGTTCTTTAATACACGTAATCTCAATGTCTTCCTCTCCAAGCTGTCTGCTCAACCAATTTCTCATTTTCGAAGCCCTCTCGGTAATCAAGACTCATGACTGAAGCTTCCCATTTCATCTATCCAGCCCACGGAGCCTTTCAGCTTTTCGAGGCACATTACAGGCATTGATCGTGCAGCAATGCGAGGCAAGCAATGTTGGAATATGCACTAGTGCTGCGACAGTGCCATTGTCCACCACCAGGCGGCCTTCTCTGCTCGTACTTCTTTTGTGCCGCTCGAATACCATCATCTGTCTTCGTCGTGCGTTTGTCCTTCTTCTCTGGGCGAGTGAGAAATGTTAGGAGCGGCTCAAGAGTCTTGCGATACGGACAGGAAGATAATGGACGTAGAGGTAGCGCGAGGAATCTTTGTCAAACATTACGAAAACTGTTGGAGCAAGGCACGTCGTTTTTCTCTTCTAACCAGGTTTCTCGCTCGGCTCGTCGAAGATCCCATAGTGAACAGTGGCGAGTCGTGCTTCTGGTGTGCCCGCTGTCCGGAGCATTCTGCCAGGACCGGGCTGAGGGCCTCCAGCTTGCGCTCTCATGGCTCTAGACATCTGGGAGTCAATGAAGCCGGTCAACGTGACGTAAGCCTATCTCCCGGTCCAGACGTAGAGCGTGCGTGCATGTACGGCTTTCCACGGAGTTTCAGACTTCACCCGCGGCCAGCCTGGTCAACCAGCTCCAGCATGCCAGCGACGAGACCTAGTGTCCACCAAAACTCCCCCTTCCTTGCAATCCTTCATTGACAGCTGATGCTCCCAAAAAGGAGCTCCTAACGCTGCAAGAATTTCGGGCCCATAGCCATTCGGAGCTAGTTTGCTAGTCCTAGAGACTCATCACAACACAATGCACGCCGACTAATATCTAGGAACTCACGGCAAGTAGCTTGCGACAAGGATGCGTGAGGCTTTCATAGTAGGTGTCTTTGTGCATGGTGGAACTTCTTGTGGGCTTTGTTCTTCACATGGGCACGGACAACGCCTGACGGTCAACAATGAACCAAAGCTAAAAAGGCGACCTTGGGACATCGTCATGGCCATGAGATGTGATGTCGTGAATCGATCAATGGGAGTAATTCTACCGCAACTGACCCGTGAGATCGAATATACGGATCGGGCGAGGCAGAACCACGGCGCCTAGGGCAGCTAGGCAAACCTCTCGTGCAGCATTGAGCAAAATCGACACCGCAGATCCGGTGAAGCTCATCGCTAACACCAGAGGTAACATACATAACGCTTGGTACTGAATATTGAGCGGGGTCACAAAAAGACACGGCAATCAAAACGACCGCTGCTCGAGAGATAGAGACATTGGGATATGGTGCGAAAGGCGATCCTCCACGTCGAACATAATCTGATCGGATGAGTGATGTCTTCCCCATGACGCCGTCGTGCTGTTACCTGTTACAGTACAGTATACRCCTTGCCTCACCCGCCCCTGACAGCCACTCATGCCTGATATTCACCTTCCATCGCAGCCTACAATGGCATGCATGACTAGGCAGCAGTCTCGCAGAGGTGATTGTCCTCAATTGTTCCATGTGACCTTAGATCTTTGCTTCTGATTGTGATCACRGCAAGTAGATCGATCTGCTTCGGTAGGCAAACCGCGAGATGGACGGTGTATAATCAGGCCTTGTCTCGCAGAAAGGGGGCCGTGGTCTCGCTTTTATGACAGCCACCAATGGCCAATATCCCTGCCCAGGTGCATTCATATCCAAGCGTATATTCAAACATCGCACATCAATAGTACTGCTGTCACAGCCAGTGACTCTGTCCATATACTTGTTGCCTAGCAGAATGCTGCCGCTTTGGGACATTCACGCCCCACCAGCGGCGCGCGCTGTGTGAATGGACGCGTYAGGCTCCCTCCAACCTCGCTTCATAAACTACACCGTCAACACTTCAATCTCCACTTCCTCTCTAACACCGACTCGACCACAGACCTGATTTCGTTCCTTTCTTGCTTCCTCAATCTACCTCGTCCCGGTATGATTTCAACTACAAGTGATGGTCTCCTTCACAGACTTGCACTGACTAGCAAGCAGCAGCGAATCGTCATCTTACTCCGCTACATATCCTGGTCCACTAAGTCGTCAGATCGACAAGATGGTGAGCCAGGGCGTCCAGTGGCTTTCCTGGGCGGAGCGGCAAGCACAAGCCAACAAGTCTGCGCCGAATGATCGTCAACTTCCCTCGAGCGCACGCAACTATCATGGCGGCAAGACCATCCATGATGGTCAGATTTGGCGCGCCGTAGGCAAGGAACACGCCGGCAAGTCAATGGTCGGTGACGTGATTGTACCCAACCCGCGCAAAGTCTATGCGGTCAAATCAGTGCTTAATGGCGTGGTTGTGCCCAACCCGCAAGCTGTCAACCCCTCCGCATATCCAACAGTTCCTACCGTCCGCAAGAAGCCGGCGGCTGCCAATCATTCAGAAGGCATCAAGAGGGCCCCTAGAAAGCAGAGCAAACGGTCTCACGCCGCGAATGTCAACAACCCACCAGCCATTGTCAACTCGCCAATTACAACGACCAAGGAGCCCGGTCTCGTCTGGAACTACGAGATGAGATATACCGTTCACCTGCTGTTCAGCTATTCGATTACCACCAAGCAAAGGCAATTGCTGTTCAACGACGTCTTCCAAGCTGACATTGCGAAATGCGGCTTCAAAGAACCGTTTCCCTACTCCCGAATCGGCCAGCAGAACGGAGAGGGAAGTCGCCCAGACCGGCAGCAGAAGGATTGACAGAAGATCGTCCACAAGGTGGGCGACGGATTCGTAACGAGGCCTACGACCGATGTCACCGAACAAGGCGTGAGGGATAGGGCACTAGCCAAGCTGAAGAAATCAGCAGAAGACCTGGAGATCGTTCTGAGGCGATGAGCGATAGGATTTGGGAATGAGTAGGCTGAAAGCTGGAAGATTGTGTAATAAAGTGCTGGCATCATGGCAGGGGCTCATTGGGGGACGAGCATCACGAGAGACTTGGCGTTCTCCATCATATCTTACGTGAGTGGCTGTCTTCCTACGAAGTCCAAGGGCACTGACCCATATCTCAAGACTGGGTAGACGAACTTGTCTGTTACTTCATCTCATCATCCTCCGCTTCAATATGTTCTTTTTACTGGTTCTGTTTATTAATCCATTTTCTTTGCTGAGGATGACTCAATCCATGGCGAATCAAGCCGCCTCCACTACCTACGTAGTGTGCCTTCATACCTACGCTGAAGATGACACAAGCGCCGTAACAAACGGACATCGCGTCGTTTGCTCAATGATTGCCGATTCCTTCAGGTAAATAGTTTACTCATCTATAAAGGATGTATATCTTGATAGACTTGATCTTCCACATATCATCATAGATCACAATGATCCATCCTTACTCTCGCAGCATCAATCTCCTTATATCTGTTAAATTTCCCTTCGAACAGCTACCTATATTTCCACGTCTTGAACTTAACACAGCGCTATATCGTACATCTCCTTTCCGGATACACCATCACCACCATTCAGAAGGAAATGGTATTCGACCACGTTTTCCAGCAACAGTTCACAAATCTAGGTTTCAACAAGGCCTATCCGTACTGCCGCATGGGCCAATAGAATGGTCAGAAGAAGCGGGAGGATAGGCAGCGCGAGCTAGACTAGCAGAAGATCTGCCACAAGATTGGGGACAACTGGGTGACGCGACCAGCGGCGAATGGGGAGGAGCAGGGCATGCGCGATAGCACTCTGGCAAAATTGATGACGGCTGCGGAGCGGTTGAAAATTGTGTTGAGACGATGAGCGATGGGATTGTCTACGAGAGTTTGTTTAGACTTGGCAAGGAAGAAGGTGGTTGAACGGCTGCAAAGGTATGTGGCTTGACACTTCTGTTGTGCGGCTGCCACCATAGCTTCGGGTTAGCGAGGCTATGATCTTTTCATTGTTCCTGTAAAATCATCGCACAGTTCTTTTTCATGCGAAAACTCTCAGCTTATCGTATCCAAGGTGGAAGTACTCTTCTCGCCTTTGTTGTCTTTTGCGAAGCCCGCATCCCTTGTCGCAGAGGTGCCAGGTTCGTGGGCCAGGTAGCCATACCAGCCAGCAAAGTAGCAATTGGCAAACGGCGGGAAGCCGTTGTTCATCGTATCGTCTGTTGGGTGCTCATTGACTATGCCTAACTTGTGGCAGGATGTTTTCCATTGCTWCTAGGCCTTTGATATGGCCTGGTTTGCTCACAAACTGTCTGCTGATGCATTGCGAACCCTAGTCAACGACCTTATAGGAGATCAGCTTCCTCCACGACCCATTCGCTAGTTGTGTCATTTTCTATTCTCCACCGGTATACGATGCAGCGTTTCCTCTCCTGTGTCGGATGAATCTATATGAACTCCCCCTCAACTTTGACCTTATACACATCCCTCGCCATAGTAGAAGGACAGACAGCTGACTTGGAGTTTTACTTCATACGTGAAAGCTCATTCCCTGTACACACATCATATCGCACTCCGGTAGAGAGCGCCATTCTGAAGTCGCATTTTCATGACCTGACAAATGAGGATCTCCGTGCGCTAGCCAAAAGCGGACATTCACTCCTCAGGTCCGCCAATGAAATCCAAATCTCTTGCGGCCCCACTTCCAGCCCTCCGGCGTTCTTCCAACGAAGACTCCACCAATTCAACTCCACGAGTGTCAACAACAATCCACAACCACTCGCGAACCATAACTCAGCCTTCGGTCACTTCGTCTGTATGCTCTTCAGAATTGGGAGTCGTTGGATATCGAGACACTCGACTGACCCTCCGTAACAGGGATCTTCAAATCAAACGTCCTATTGCGACTGAAAGCATCGTCTACAAGACGCAAAATCTCCACGGCATGTCTTCAGAGTACGAGCTCTCCCCTCAGGCTCAGGCGGCGCTGCAGGGGTCGATGACGGCAGAGTATCCGTGGACCCTGAGCGACTGGACGCAGCCGCCAGACTTGAGCACTGCTCAGGACGACGAGCTTGACGGCTTTGCGAGAGACGATGAGTTGGACGTCTCCATAGATCTCGAGCGCATCATTAAGTCTGGTCGACCGACCCCTTCGGTCATCTCGTCGGAAGGAGGCTTTCCGACACGGAACACTGAGACTGGCCGCCTCGAGAATGAAGTGGAGACAAAGCGTCCATCTTTCTGGGGCTTCAGAAGCGGAGAGTCGACGAATACCCCACGAACAAGGACCCCAACGGCCGTCACCACACAAGACAACACAACCATGCCTTCTGTCCGACGCAGCGGGCAAGGGACGGAGAAGAGGTCTTCCCAAGTTTCGCGCCCCACAGCCACGCCGAAGTCCTCGAATGAAACGCCAACCTTCACCTCAACGAGAACTCGCTCTGGTATGACATCGCGGCGCGAGTCGGCTCTCAACCCTGCCTCCAATCCCGACAATTCTCAAATGCAAAGGAAGCGCAAGAGAAGCGACTCCTCTCCGGATGCAGCCACACCCACGGTCGAAGAAGACCACACCGCCGGCCAAGAGGATACACGCAACGATCCGACCCTCGTGTGGGACTACACCCAACGTGTCGTCCTCCACTTTCTCTTCGTACACACCGTCACAACCAACCAGGAGAAAGAGGATATATTCAACAACGTCTTCCAAGCCGAGTTGGCGTCACTTGGTTTCAAGAGCACATTCCCGTACGCAAACATGCGTAAGCAGGAAGCAGAGAAGCGACGAAAGTACCGGCCTGTTCCTCCGGAGTGGGTCACCATCGTGGCGGAAGACAGGGCGGATCGAGCGGGTCGTAATGGTGCTGTCGGTAGTGCAGCTCGGGCAAGGCGGGATGAAATCAAGGCTCGCGTGGTTCAAGCCGCTAGAGATCTCAACATCACGCTAGACAACTAGATGTGACAAGAACTCAAAGTTGCGTGCTGATACTCGAAGAAGGCGAGACCGCGAAGATGAGCATGAAGATGTATCTAGAGGAGGGACAAAGCGACGCCGGACGGTAGAACGTGGCGTCGTTGACGAGTCGATGTCTCTTACGCTATGAATGGGATTACGATGGATGGTCATCAGGCTCTATCTTCTCGACGCTTCCGTAAAATGCCAGGGAAGACAGGTATGCCTTGCAAATAGCCTTTCTATGCCAGCACAAGTCGGCGTCACGAATTCATTCCTTGTTCACATAGCCATCGACTCCTTCGAACCTTATCAACTGTGACTCTATATGTCTATCATCCAGCGATCATCGTTTGTCCCGTCGACAGGTGCTGTCCCATTGTCCATCGACTTCTTTGCTTCCTACTTGTAACATGCTCTCAGATCGCTTACTGCTGCCACGGCTTGCTTCGCGTCGCGTTACACCATTCTTAGACTTCGTGAACTAACGGGATTTGAGACGCGTCGGGCGACGCGACAAAGGGGAAGTCTTTGTCTCTCATTCTCGCTTTTCCATATAAAGAGTGTCGCCGGCGACCACAGCTTGCCCTCTTGGACACCATAGGAGGGACCACGATCTATACCCCGGGTCGTGAAAGTTTGTGCGCACTTCGAAGCGTGGGAGACTACTCTTCGATCCATCTGGTTCGCCTTGCCGGCAGTGTCGATCTGGCTGCATGTCAACTCTCTATCCCCGTCTCTAGCTCCGAGAAGGACTCCTCATGTCTATTCCTCCTGTACAGTGCATCTGCATTCTGATCACCCAACTGAATGCTTCCCTTCACTAGTACCGTCGTCCACGGACTGTCCTCTCCCGGCTCAGTGCTGCCACATCTCGGCTCTACTGAAGTCTGGTAGGACATTGACGAAGCCTTAGACTTCGATTCATTCTCTAGGACCGCTCATACCCCTTCCACGTTATGCTCCAACCGAATTGAACCGTTCTTAGTCTTGGGCCGTGATCTCTTGGCCTTTCCCCCTTCCCGCGAGACCTACATCGACAAGCGTATGGACCAGAGCCGCGAGAAACCCTCAGCAAGGCGAGGAAAAGAGCGTGCAGGTCACGCCGGCAACTGCGAGAGATGAGGCTCCATTTGGGCCACGCATGAAGGTGGAGGACGACGGCTCGAAGGAGAAAGAGTCGGAGTGGGATACAGATAACGATGCCTGTGTCAACACTTGGCACCACCGCGGCCCACATTCCTTCTCGCGTTTACGGGCGCCCAAATGCCCTCCTAGCAGTGAGATCTTCACACCCTATTCAAAGTGATGTCTCATCGCATAAGGCTGCTAATCACATCGCAGCGCTGGGGGCGGAAAATGAGGAGACGAGATAGAAGGGCAAGCAGGCATCCTAGGCAGAGAAGAGCAAGCAAACCAGCCTACCTACGATGTCTCCCACCAAGACGTCGGCACCGAAGTATGGTGAGCTCAAGCGGAACTGCGACAGATGTGTCGTGGCTCGGGAGTTGTTCGTTTATGCCACCGTCACCAACGAGGACAAGCCAGCCATTTCAATCACATCTTTAAGGATGACCAGGATGCTCTTAACTTGGGGCAAGAGGATACCTCTTTGACTCCACATGAGCAGTTGCTAGGAAAAGCGTAAACGTGGACGTTATGATGACTGAATTGAGATTCCTGCGAACAAGCAGGCGGACAAGGTGGAGAATGGTCGTGCGGGGTGCGAAACGCGAGATGCTATGAATGCCAAGATTGCTGCAGCATCGGCGCATCTGATCAAATCTTTGGAAGATTGCTCCATGAGTCTGTTGCTGAAGTATTGAGGAAAGAAACGAGATCTCGAATACCATTACTGCTCGCGGCAGGCGTACATGATGTGAGGCCAAATGACCTTGATCGATTCACATAGTGTCGGCGAGGGAATCAGGCAGATTCTCTGGTCTCGGTCACATGTGTTCTATGCGGTTACGATGTTACGAAGTCTGWCATCTGTAAGCTGTGATTCCCTTCCCTTTACGCGGTCTCCTCCCAAGACCGATCGAGGTGGATGTCAAGAAGTCTATGGAACTGCGAGATGATGTGGCTGTAAGTCATCATGCGTTGCTTGGTCTCTGTCAAATCTTCATCTCAAAGTCCGGGGTCGTCAAGGCCATCGGCAAACCAATCTACTACAGAGGTGCTCCTCTCAACCAGGGCCGACCTCCATGATACGATGAAAGCTCCTAGGAAGAGAGAATCAGGCATGCCCAAAACGCCGGGCACATCGAGAGCGCAGATTACCACGAGTGACTAGGCATCTCGGGCTCTCAGCCACTCTGTCGCTCGCATGACATCAGATCTGATAAGCAAATCGCGGCGCCCGGATGAGCTTCCGAAAATCGTTTGCTTGAAGAGATCGGCAAACAGACGGTCAGCACGCATATATCAACCGGTATCAGCATAGATGAGGCTCTGGTTCTCTCTTGACTACCAGTACTACGAATTATCTGAGCATCATAAAAGCCCCTTTGTCTGCCCTCTTACCACTTCATGCGAGACCTATATTCCTGATTCTATGGGCTTTCTTTACACAATGACGGCGGCGGCGGCGTTTTATCTTTGCATGAGTATTCACTCACTAGCGCAAAGCGAAAACAGATTAGCGCCCGGGGAAGTGGGGCGCACACTGCCTTAGCGCGGATGATAAACTACGTCAAGTCTCCCCAACCTCCACCTTCTCGACTCGACACACCTCACACCGACATCAACAGAACGCTGCCGGTGCAACCTGCGCTCAGCCGTGTCCATTCCTCCAGTACGTATCACCACGCGCAGCACTTCGATCAAAGCCCTTCTGACGTTCGAATAGCAGCAGTCCGGCGGTTCTCTGCGCCCCATCCACAGTCCGTCAAACGTATCGACACAACTCGACAACATGGAGTCCTCATCAGGCCTCTCTGCGATGCCTACATCGGGCGATGAGCTCAACCACTCCTTATTCAACCCCGCAAACACAACTTCAGAGTCTGAGGCGGCGCTGAGCCAGTCTTTTGGAAACGTGTTGCACTTCGACGATCAATTCACTGAGGCCAACTCGAACGAGTTGGACCATATCATCCTGCCCGACCTCGACGATGCGCACATTGCCTCAAAGATCCAGGAGTTTTCCCCAACCTCTCCTGCTCGAGACATCTTCGATGTCCCAGCAAATGAGAAGCGCGCGGTGAACACTAAGGAGAGCATCAACACCAGCGTCAACTCCCCTACGCCACCCAGTAACGCCACTGGTGTCTCCTCGACCAGCGAGAGCGCCGGTGAATCACCACCTGCTATCATGTACTACAAGTCATGGACTCGTGACGCGGCCGGATACAGATTCAGCGGAAAGAATTTCAGGAACCGCCAGGTGGTCGAGGCGACCGCGGCTGACTGGTATCGCCTGCTGCCACAGAACAGTCTCAAGCGTAAGAGGATGTTCAATGACCACTCCGACGATGCCTATGTGAGCAGCACCACCGCTCCGACTGGAACACGCCGCTCGGAGCGCCGATCAATGGTGGCTGCTACGGCGTCTCGGCAAGTGGAGTCGGACACAGAGTCCGACGAGAGCGACTCAGAATACGAAGCTCCTCAGCGTTCGGGCAGACAGGTCAAGAGGTCGCACAAGTCTGCAAGCCTGCCCACGAAGCCTGTCGCCAAGGCTACTAGCCCTCTGGTCAGCGCTTCACCCAAGGCCACTCCTGTGATCAAGCAGACTACGCCCAAGGTCACTGGCGCTCGTACCAAGGTCTCCATCGCCTCTCCTCCTCCGTCCAAGAGGAGCACGCGCAACAGCCGCACTTCATCAACCCCGGCCATCCCGGCAGCGAAGAGAGGTACGCGCAACAGCCGTGCTTCATCCCCTCCAGCGAACCCGCCCAAGACCAGAAAGACTGCCCCAAAGGAGACCATTCTCACCTGGTCTTACGAAATGCGGTACGTCCTGGACCGACTTTACGAGCACACCACCACCACCACCGGAGAAAAGAGAGATATTTTCAATCATGTCTTCAAGTCCGAGTTGACTCTTCTTGGTCTCTACAAGAAGATCGACTCCGAGAAAATGAGAAAGCAGTACGGTAGCAAGACCCGCGACGATCGCCCAATCCCGGATCAATGGATCCAGATCATTGCCGATGAACAAGTTGATGCGGCCAACGACGCGGCGGGTATTATGGGTGGCGCGGATCGTTTGCTCCGCGACACTATTAAGGACAAGATCGCTGCAGCAGCCCTCCACCTCAATATCACGTTGTAAGGTTGGGAGTGCAGTCTCTGGTGGAGAGTTGAGCGTATGGACGACAAAGGGGTTCGAGAAAGCCCCAGCAGGCGTATTGCTGAAAAGCTCCGGTCACCTAAGGGACGACTGTATTACGGAAGAAAAGCGTTGAAGGAGTTCTGCGATTTTTTTTGATTTTGGGGTATGGAGCGAGAAGACGGATTATATTACCACACTTCGCGGGTGTGCATGCTGGAAGAACCATGGCTGACACCAAGTCACTGTTCTAATGGCGGAGCTGCAAGGAAAACTGTTTTCTAGTCTTGATCCATTTACACAATTCATGGTGTTTTGTCACACTACATCTCTCTATGTTCTTGTGAAGTCTGTAGTTGTTTGCCTTCGTCGCGAATTTGCCATGATCATCGCAAACAGTGAAACTCGGTAACATATCAAGCTATGGGAGCTTCAAAAGGGCCTCTCCCCTCTCCTGTACATCATGAGTTGGTGGTATACTCATTACTCCTACCAACACCGTATATCTCCGTTTCCCCACATTTACGTTGTACAGAATGGTTCCACACGTTGCGCGGTTCTTCAGACGTGTCACGATCGAAGGAGATGATACCTAGTGACTCTAGAAAGGGTGCCCAGGGCATTAATTGCGTCACGACCACTTCATCTTTCCAACCCCACAATTTCTCGTCGTCAACAACAACATCAAGATCTCGCGGCTTCGCACTCCGCAGTATCTTGCTCTTGCATTCCCCACCGCTCTGCGCGTGTCCCTCTGGTATGTCTTGTCGAGCAGATCACAACTACCTCATTGACGGTTGACTAATGTCCATGTTGAAGCGCCTTACCCTGCCTCTCGCAGCTCTTTTCTTCAGCTTCCATCTCCTTCGTCCGTCGCCGAATCTGGCGACCGGACTCTCATCTCTCGCTCGGCTCACATCGATCCCTTCAGCCTTCCTGTGTGTTGTTTCCCACATGAGACTCCTTGTAGAGCTCGACTAATGTTCATGTAGCGGCGGTTTMAAAACTTGGTCCAAACTCGACATTTGCGATCTATCATCGCATCATCACCACCGCAACTTGCCAGGATAGCTTCCTCGTCTGGTTTGCTTGCGCGTTGCTTGCTCACACTAACAAGCCGCAACATCTGTCCTCGGAAATCTCCGCCATGATTTTGAAGTTGGRGCGTTGGTTGAAACAACGCCGTGAACACGCCATCCTCCCCAACGACTCACCCACAGTGTCGTTCGATGGCGGCTCAGTAGACGACGCTTTGGTCAGGGACCAAGACACGTTTACTGGTCGAGGCTTCTTGGAAGGCAGTTCGGCGCCCGATGTCGACGCCAACAGCGACGACGCTGCGCTTCTTKCGMTTCAGAGCGAGCGGATTTGGAGAGACGTGATGCGTGTTCATAACAGTGCCACTGCAATTGGACTGTACCAGCTAAGCCACTCCGATCCTGACTCCCTTCTCAACGGATGGCATCGCGTTGGGTTCTACGGCGAGGATACTGTCGGTAGAAGAGGCATGGCCGACGGGATCTCCTATTCCGCAAGCACGACAACTTATTACTTTGAGCCTTTGGATGACGACGAGCCATTGACGCAGCCGTTGCGCAACGAAGGCGTCGCAAATGATGAGTCGGCGGCCGAAGCCACAGAGCATCAGTCAAGCGGGAAAGTTTTGAAGCGCAAGTCTGCAGTCGTGGAAGATTCAGACGACGAATTCATGAGTCCTACCATGGCGTCGGCCACCGCTGCGGCCTTGACCATGAATCGCAACTCCAAGCGTCAAGCGCGATTCAAAATTCAAAAGCAACTGGATTCTGATTCTGATTCGGAGCTTAGCGAGGAGGAAGAGGCGGTGGAGGAGGAGGAGGAGGAGGAGGAGGAACCTCTCAAAAAGACTGCCGCACAGGTGAAGAAGATTTCTCGGAGCACCGCCCCATCAAAGGCGACTAATACTGTTGGCAAAGCCTCGAGTTCGTCGTCCAAGCCCGCTTCAACCACCCGCGCTCGATCCAAGCTGGCTGGCCCGAAGAACAACACGACATCCAACTCGGCCGTCCTGACCGCATCCACTACCAAGGAGAAAAAGATGAAGTGGAACTACCGCATGCGGTTCGTCCTCCACGAGCTCTTTGTACACTCGACAACCAGCAAGGATGAGAAAGAGAACATTTTCAACGAAATCTTTCAAGCCGACCTCACCGCTCGCGGCATCACACATCCTATCGACATTGAGAAAATGCGCAAAGCCGAATCAGATAAGAAGCGCACGACTAATCAGACTCGCATCATCGCAGACTGCGTCAAGATCTTGGCGGACGATGCCACCGACCAGGCGGACGATGCTGCGGGTGTCCAAGGCGGTGCTGGTCGTGCCACACGCGATTCGATCAGAGCTGAGATCGTGAGTGCAGCTGTACACCACAGCATCACGTTCGTCAGGACATGAATGTGGTCTCGAGGGAGTTCTGCTCTTAAGTGTCGCAGCTCTTGATGGAAGGTAGTCGATGAGGAGGTTCGAGATGCCYCAGCAGGTGGAATGCTACAAAGCTCCGGTCACCGTCCCAGGTAGACTGTATCACGGCGTTTAGGTCAAGGATAGAGGATCCCTTGATACATTTGTTTCTTTAGCGGCGTTTGGTGTTTCTTTGTGGCTTATTTCGTTTTGGGTTCGGCTTTGCAAGGGGAGAAAAGTTCAGATAGCGACAAAGGTACTAAAATTGTCTTCTTCATTGTGCCCTTGTTCTAGATGTCATGTCCCCAAGTGCCAGATCAGTGTCTTACGATATTACACTTGCTCATACCAAACTGTTTCCGTCTTGCGACTGCTCATCTTTGACTCCCGCTCCCAAAATGTCAATGCCATTGCATTCCGATATCCTTCTCAAGCTTGGCGGTGTGAAGGAACTCTTCCGACACCGGGTTCAACACAGGTATTGTCAATCTCTTTCATCCCAGGGAAGGACAGTCAAACTGGTAGGCGATATTTGTTAGAGTCGGCAAACGAGCTATCAGCGTCTATCGACGGAGTACATAGGTCACAGCTTAGAATCGATTAATTATCTCATAGGGTTGCCGATCCAAAGCCCGCCTTCGTCGAGGAAGACCGTCTGCCGTGGAGCAACTCCTGTCATCGTCCTTTACGTCCTTCCGTAATCGAGATTGGGATTCGTTGGGATATCAGTGCACCCGGTATGTGTCAGGCCACCCTGAGCCACTTTCCGAAGCGCAGATCGCAGAGCCATACCTCAGCGGAGCCAGACACATTAGCCAGGATGGAGGAGTGAACTTCTGATCAGAATGTTGTGCGTCCCATCAATCGACGCGACGTGATGACCAAGAGGAGAGTCCTGCAAAGCCTTCATACCCATCATCCTCCAGTCACGCCGTATATCCAGTCGCCCGTCGCCGCTGTATACACAATGTGCGCCGCATTCCGATCACATTTCTCGCGAACCATCGCGGGCTTGGCGGGGTCAGCTGCATGTTATGCCCAGGGTGGAAGTGGACACCAACACCTCTTCACCAGTCCACCCTACGATTTCGACCATCAGGACCACCCGAATCCCAAATACCATCACTCCCTCGCACCCCTCCCAGCGCACTCCTCTGCTGTCTCTCATCGCACAGAGCAACGTCTTGCATTTCGATCCCGACTCGACATCTCAACCCCCGAGCCACATACCACCACTGCGCCCTGGTATTCTTCTCGTTTCGATCCACCACGCCCTCCGACGAGACCTGCGAATCTTCGTTCCTTGACCTCCCCGTCAATAATATCGGTTCCACCAAGGGCCTGTGACGAGCAGTCATTCCAAGCCCGGCTTGAAACCCTCTTCGCCCATTCTTCCTGCAGCTGTTCTCAAAGGCGCTGGTATCCCTCACCTGACCTATCAACAACGCAACGAAGTCCTGACGAACGATCAAGACCACTGTTGATCCCATTCCTGCGGCCCGCATTCCTGGACAATCCTCGTTGAACTGGACTCGCACAGACATGGACCACAGACTCGGTGGAAAGACGGTTGTGAACGGACAAGTTGTCCCTGCGCCGAATCGGGGTCCTTCGGGCCTCCCGCATCTGACGGCCTTTGATCGTGCGGAAATCAAACGCAAGGCGGCCTCCGATGCGTATGAAGGTAGTGACAGCGAGGGCGACAACTCTGAGAAGGCGTGGCTCAACAACAGAGACAGGATAAACTACAAGGAGATGAGCGATGAGGAGGATGATGATGGTAACGATGAGGACAGTGATTACCACGATGTACCAATGCCTTCAACGACAGTCCGACACATCAAACGCCGTAGAACCACAGTTCCCAAGGTTGGATCATCCGGCGCACGCATTGAGAAAAAGGCTGGCTCGAAGCGTACCAAAGCTCTTGGGAAGAAGCCACAACAAGTTGCAACTACTGCTCGTAACGCTACTGTCTCGGATGGAAAGCCTTCCCGCAAAGCTCCTGCAAAAGAGGCTCCTCGAAAGGGATCTCTCACATCAACAGTATCCACCTCAGCTCCTACAAGGTCAACCACAACCAAGGAGCCCAGACTACACTGGACGTATGAGATGCGCTTCGTCCTACACCAGCTGTTCAAAGAAGATGTCTTCATCACCAAGCAGGAGACCGGGGACATCTTCAACCATCTCTTCCAGGTTGAGCTGACACAGCTTGGCTTCCAGCAGGCGGTGCCGTACGAGAAGATGCGGAAGGCATACAGCGATTCTACCCGGAACAGAGTCATCCGCGACTGCATCAAGATCGTTGCGGATGAGCTGGCTGATGAGATGGCTGATGAATCCAACGCTGCGTCCGATCTTCGCGATGAGATGGGGATTGAGGTGGTCTACGCAGCTGAGCTTCTTGGCATCAAGATCGGACCACAGGAGGAGGAGCTTGTGGTGTAGGCCTGAATAAGAAGGCGTACTATGAGTCGATCAGTGTAGGTTACAGCATCGTTCCGAGAAGGCAAAGGGTGGACGTCGCTTCTCATATCCCTGGTACATTAGGGTAGATGCGTCTCCATGGGAGCTTTGTATCTAGACTGGGCATTACAAGGTTAAAGAGAATCCTACACAAACGCTTCGAGGAGTCTTTGTCAATGTGTCTTTGTCTTCAACCAAGCCTTTGATGATCTGCACCTCATCCACCCCCTCCTTGATGGCGTTGTTGCTGTGGATCATGCAACAGCTTCTCTGTATCTCGCCTCTAGCTGTTGTTGACATTGTGATGCTGGTCGAGGATAGCAACCTATCTAGGAGAGTTACATCACGCGGCAAGGACCTTGGTCGATTTGCGGTGACTTGACGGACCTGTCGTGAAACAACAGCACAATGCCTAGGTGTGGCATCTGATTTGTGATTTCCTCAGTCGCACTGACATCATCTTGCAGAGAAGTCTCATCGTATGCATCGGTCTCGCGAGCCCCGATTCTAGGCCAGAAAGCTTCCTTCACCAGCGAAAAAAGCTCGCCCGAGCGTCCTCATGTACAGAGAACCATGTCGCTAGACACTGTAGGTAAGCGCATCTCGATGGCTCGAGGAGCACGATGCTGAGTGCGATGTACTACTAACCTGCTGAGTCCGTGGACATGATGGATTACAAGAGCGTAGTAAGATCAGCTTTTTGGATACGAGGATGGAATTTCATTCGCATCGAGCAGGGCTCGCTGCGGGTTGCGGTCTCTGGAAAGCGCACCACAACTCAGACTAGCTGAACTGATCATGGCAGAGGTGATGGCGAGTGTCAGAAGAGCCAGCGGGAGACGAATGCCTATGGATCTTCTGATCCGGCACTACAACGAACGGGCCATGGCTGAGTTAATGAGGCAGAGGCTTCTCTTCCCGCTCAGAGACTGCCACTGCAGTCCGCATGTACAACTTCAAGCGCAAGTATCGTTACTCTTGCTACCAAACCTCCTTCATTGCCATGCATGAGAGCTTTCGCCACCTTTTCACCCGCTTCATTCAGCGTAAAGCAGTTCCACCGCATAATTCCAGCGGTATCCTGACCGGGAGCTTCTCCAGGGGCGGTGGCATGATGTCAGAGATATTTGGAGTGCGGGACGGGGCCTGTTGAACCAAGATCCACTGTGAAGCACAGCCTTTATGACATTCGACAGGGCAATGCTGAGTCTGAGATTGGCATTACGCAGCCGTGAGCATCGGGAAAATCGTGGACAAGATGTGATCGTGGTGGTCGGGGGATCATCGCTTCCCTCGATGTTGTACATATGCCTTCATTGAGTCCGTGGACCTCAGCCATATCTAGAAACCGGGAAGAGTATCATCGAACGGTCTGTAGCTATCTAGTTCACTGTGCGAGGTTTAATACCACTTTCGCATGCATCGAGTGTAGTTCACACGGCACAGTGTGACTTCTCGTGAGAACATCTGACCTGTGGGAGCCCGAGAAGTATGTACTACTCCAGCTGATATGAGCGCCCGACTATGCCATAATCCTCGCTCACGGTCTTGGCAGAAGCACTGTAAACCAAACAAAGATATTCTACGACATGAGCCATCGCTAGGGCTTCTCCTTCGAATGAAACATGATGCTAGAGCTCACATTCGCTCTAGGAGACAAGTATGGCATGCAGACATCTGGTCAGCGACTTCCGACATGCAGAACTCGCGAGCGCTCTCGAATCTGCAATCCATGATCTCTCCACCGCTGGATAATGGACTCAGTCGCCCTATCGATTACGTTCGTTGAAGGCAGTGGTTTGCTGGTGGTTCTTCCGGCCTCGGTCTTGCTCATGCAGGCCGTAAGGATTTCTTCCGAAGGATGTACTGTGTGCAGGGAATCGCAGACTGCCCTCATCTACACGTGTAGAGTCAGCACGCAAATAGCAAATGTCTTGAAGGTCACCGTGGATTGTTTCAAACGAGAACAAATGGTCATTGGCGTAGGCAAACAAGRGGCTGCCATCAATATAGCCTGCGACGAAGCTGTGGACGCCATGCTAGCCGAAGCGATCGTTCATCGCGCCATTTTCATCCCTCTGCGTCAGCAGCGCAGGACCGTTACCACATACAACCCGTTCCCGATCTATATCTAGCTGTGTTCTCCAGCATCCTTGGCCATCCGCACAATGTTTTCTGCGTCCTGTTCACAGGACGCCGAAAATCTACACCTGCTGACTAAGTTTACCCCTGTTCCGCATTGGGAATCTAAGCGCGGCCAGCCGCGATATTCTGGCGACATGTTTCGCGGGGCAACGCGACGTGCACGTGTCAGCTCAGTGGCATCAAGCGMATCTCTACTCAATAACTTCATACTCGTTCTACAGTATACTCTAAACAACACTCGCTCCGACACGTCCAGCTCCGCCAAGATCGTCTTCAAGAGCAGTCCCGCTGAAGACGCCGCCCTTGTCTCCAACAACTCTGCACGTCAAACAACGAGGTACGCCAACGAGAGCGAGTCTCGATCGAGCATAATAATCTAGCTGACAGACAACCAATGTAGCTCTGCTCCTTGAACAACACAAGTCTCGAAGCCATCTCAACAACTATCACCAACAGACACGAAGATGGAAGATATCACCAGCAGCGAAGTCTTTCAGACCGACCCTCTTCCTGATTCCGTCCGACAGCCCCCCTGGACACACCTGTCTTCTCTCCCTTTCGGACCAGCCGAAGCGTGGCRGCGAGTCTCAAACGACGCTTCTGGTCTGGCTCAATGAACTGCGAGAAGCGACTTCAACCCTCGTAGGCGCGAAGACAACACACAGCAGCCTTCTCTCTCCATCGATCCAAGCCTGCTCGGTGAACAGTATCTCTTCCCCGAACTACAGCATCCGGGAGATAGTATCTTGGACACACGCTTGAACCGCTACGGTAGTGCCTCGCCTGAGCAGACTTCAAATGTCGAGTCTTCGATCCAAAGCACTACCGCTCAAGGCCAATCCTCTCAAGTCTCGCAAACGGCCCTTACCCAGGCCGCGGAAGTCGTCATGGCTGTCTCCGCCCCGCGCGTGAATACCTCGCAGCAATCTCAGCCACAGCTCTCACCGTACGTTGGCAGAGGCAAGTCCAAGGCCGTACCTCTTCCATCAGATCCTTCGGCTCGAGACACATCGTTGGACAGAGTCACTTCCTTCACAGCGCCGCAAGCGCGGGACGAACAGCATGGCGAGGAGGGGACGGCAACTTACTTGACCCAGATCAGCTCCTCCCCACAAGAGAATGATTCCACCGCAGACGAACAGTCGTCGGACGAGGAACAAGATCCGCCTCTTAACCAACTCTCCTCCAATGCTCCGAAAGCTCAGCAGCAGGCATCGCAGACGACCAGCCAATCGAATGCTCAAAACGCACCTCACCTCTCGAATGCTCAACCAGCTACCAACAATGCGTCCTCCTCGCGTGCCAAGCCAAGACAGGGCCCGAAGCTCAAGTGGAGCTGGGAAAAGCGTTGCGTGCTGCAACTTCTGTGGACCACCAAGAACACCACCAAGGATAGACGAGAGATCTTCCAGCATCTTTACCAAGCGGACATTGCCAGCGCAGGCTTCCCTGGGGGTGTATTTCCGTACTCCAGTATGTCAAAGCAGATGGCGCAAAAGACTCGCGGAGGTGACCGGGCGACACCCAAGGACTGGAAGATGCTGGAGGTTGATGCGGTGGATGATGAGGATCAGGACGCCCGAGATGCGGTGGAGRACAAGGTGGATGCTGCAGCGTCTMATCTCGGCATCACCCTTGTCTACTAGGAAGTGTAGGTCTCATTGAGGAAGATATGGTGGCGCAAGATCAATACGGCGTCAAGAAGAAGGCTGGGAAGGCAGACCCATCGAGCAGTGGGAGAAGTTGTACTCGACTTGGCCAAAATCTGCTCTACAGGATGTCGATTCCGCTGACGACCAGGAGTAGGAGTCACCGAAGAAGAAATCAAGACTGTCTCTTGGATTCGATATAAGCTCAGACAATGTCATCATCAACAGTACTCAAGGCTTCGCCGGTGGCAGTTTAACCATGGGTGATCTATCTGATACAAAGAACGAACCTCAGCCAGCATTCAAGTCGCTTCCGGTCGTCTTCCCTTCTTCTTCCGCAGCATCTTCCCTTCCTCTTCCGCAGACCCCCTAACGGGCATTCAGAACAAATCTGCGACTTAACAGAAGATCGGCAAGACAAAGACACCCGCCGGCACTCCCCGCTTGACAATCAAGTGGACATACGAGATGCGGTATGCGCTGGAGCTTTTGCGGTCGGCTGGGATTAAACCGAAGCAGAGAAAGATGATCTTTGACCACCTCTTCCAGACCGAGATCGCCGCTGGAGGATTCGCCCAAGGCGACTTCCCCTACTCCAGCATGGGTAAGCAATATGCCGAGAAGGGGTTGGCGCACAAGAAGACCATCCACAGTGACTGGTTGAAAATCGCAATGAACCCGGCCGACGATGCTGAGCGTCAACTACGCGCAGCCACCAAAACCAAGCTGGATGCCGCAGCTGCGTTGCTCGAAATCACGCTCAATGGCTAGTACTTGAGATYGCTGGGGAGGAGTGATAGTCGAGGAGGAGCAAAGAATCAAGCGGATGGTATACGCTTCATTGTACGACAGTCTCGTTTCCGTCGAGGGATATACATGGGCAGCGTGAGTCAATGGATGAGGTCATTGGACCGTTTCACATAGCAGGAACAGATTTCGAGAAGGCAGGGAAACAGTTGTAGGTATGAAAGCTGCATCACACCAGCAGCGGGCTCACTAAGCCTACAATTAAGTCTGTGTTCAATGAGAAACAAATGCCGCGTGCCATGTCAGTCCTGCGTCTTGAGAATTCATCCAGATCATGGCAAGTGAACCCAAAGACTCAAATGCAGCTCATTCAGGTACAGCAGCGCATTCAAGCTGCCCGTGATATATTCCTCTTGGTATCATACATACATCTTTCAAATCCTGTGTTTCGATCATCCGTACTTCCCATGCGAACAAGTTCCACAGCAAAAATCGATGCTCTATGTACGGTGTTGGTGAGCGGGAGTACCTCTGATCGTGTCGTGCCTGATACACACCAGCGTCTTTCTGGCCAGCGGTTGCATGCCAGCCCTTTTCGCAACTACGCAATTTCTGCGGGTTTCGTGGATGCGCATTCTACAAAGCAAGGCGCAGTTGTGCATATTCTTCAATGCTCGCTATGGATTCGTTCGTGTATGACACGTTCCTCCCACTCATGGAATTGCACCTCATACAGCAAATCTCTACATCACTTCGACTTTGATTCTTCTACTCGTAAATTGGGGAGACCTTTACGGGGAGAGGTGGAAAGCACGTGTTGTTTCTGCCTGATCAATCTCGAACTACCTCCTTCTCGGAACCTTCGATTGCCGCCTACGTTCCTTCTTCCAGGGTTCCTTCTTGCTGTAAAGATCGGAACGCTTGCCTTGCCCCCTCCGCATATCATATACAAAGGGTAGGTACCCCTCAATAGGTAGGGTAGGTACAACACCTCATGCACGGAAGGAATACGAGAGGGTCTGAGAAGGAGGCAGACCTCGATCTCTTCCTTGAATCCACTCTCTTCAACAGACGGTTATCTTCACATCAAACACATCCATCCACATTGACAGCAGCTTTTACCGCTCGCCTCCAGTCACAAGGCTAGGACGACATATTCGGGCACAATCTGATCATTTTCACCGCCCGTCTGGCTTATCCCTCGTGTATGTGAATGGGAAGAGATAACCATCAACAACTTCCGGCTGACGTTCAGGCAGAGTTGAAGCACATTCCACTTCCCTCGCGTTCTCTTCTTCCGTCGACCATCACCACCACTGCGAGCAAATATGTGTGACCACATCGAGGAAGGAACCGCTTATCACGTCCCTCCCCTCGATCCCGCCATCACCATACTGCCGGAGCAATTTGTCTCCCATCTCCCCTGGGGCCCATCGGCGGCCTAGCGGCGCGTTTCGGACGACTCCTATGGACACAGCAGGTGGATAGCCGCAGATGATTTCGATGAGGCTCTGCGAACGGACGCCCCGTCGCGTCCTCAGTTCATCGACCCGCAGTTACTGGTTATGAATCCATTCGTCGCTACATCGCCTCCCCTCCAGCCCGAGACGAGTAGGCCGGCTCACGCTGTCCACGACGACTCGCGAAATGTGTTTGATCTGTTGGACGACGTTGCCACTGCCCACAGTACATCAAACTCGATATCCGGGCAGGAACAATCAGGAAATAGAACAAGCCTCTCTCCAGACGTGCACATGGGCGGCACGGACGATATGCCTCTGAGCCAAGACTCGAATATCACCAAAGCAGATCGACAGCGGCCGCCGCAGCCAGATAGCCAGGTAGCTGCACCACCTGCACTCACACCTGGCCTGTCGAGGGACCCCTCCGGACGCGGCTCACAAGCCTCTGCTCGCCCCAGTTCCAGGGGCCCCAAAATGGACTGGACGTATGAAATGCGATATGCGCTCGTTTTCCTGTGGGAACACTTCCCGCGACAGCAAATGAGGGAAATCTTCCAATACCTATATCGTACGGAGATTCCTCGTGGATACCTTGATTCGGAGGGTGTGATTCATTGGAATATCTTGAAAGGTATGTGGCAAACGAGGACCCGCGGAGGCAACGGCCCGGTCCCGCAAGAATGGGCGGAGATCGCGTTGGCACCGGCTGACGAAGCGGAGCGTTTGCGACGTGCTGCAATCAAGGCCAAGATCGATGCCGCCGCTGTGGCTGTCCAGAATCCCGCCGCTGTGCCTGTTCAGAACGGCTGAGAGCATGAAATTTGACTCTGATGCGGAGATTACTTCAAGAGACCATTGAGATTAGTAGTGGACGACATGGCTTGCGGCGTTGACTTTTTGCGATAAGCCAGGCCCCAACAGTACTGCCGCGTGACGGTAGGAGGTGTTAAGATACGAGGGTCGGACGGTCGTGAGGTTTCCAAGCTTTGAAACATACTTCTCGCTGATAAGATGGCTTCGACTTACTGAGCTAGCCGTGAGAGGAAGCTGCAGATATTGAGTGGATTTTGTTCAATGAGCACGACCTTCGTTACTTCTTTCGCGATGCATTTCGCTTGAGTTCATTTGCATGTATATCCCGGTGAGATCTTTGGTTGTAAGGACCGCCTTCGTGTAACATGTTAGCTTTGAGAAGCAGACCTCGATCAGTGGTGAGAGCGCTCCAGCTGTATTAGACCAAGACCTCGACTGCGTGCTTCTTCCATTGCATGGACGGTGTTTCTTTGCATTCCTTCCCGGAAATCAAAAGTGAGACATGAACGTGGTTGATCATCAAAGTTTTGGGCTGGTCTTCCATCACGCTATTCCGGCCAGTCAACCTATTCAAGAACGGTCTCGCGTGCTTTATGCACAGGCACTTTCCAAATCGATTGTTTAGCATCGGGTACGCATCCAGTCTCCAGTGCTGGCGCTTTGCGCTTAACGCTCAGAACTGCAAAAGAGCGTGACACGGGCTTTGTTCATAGGCAATACTTCACGTTGACGGATACCTCGGACATCAAAGGATATCGTGCGGCAGACCTGTGTCTTTTCCCAAAGTAGCGGGACTCTAGAATATGCAAATGGCCTCTTTCGGTGGCCGGCTCTCTCAACAAGAGATTCACATCCCAGCCGATCAGAATWTCGAAACCGCGAGTGTGTCATTGATCCTTTGCGTTGGAAATGCGTCAAGGTCGACCGATCCGAGTCATGCAATGCAGCCACATCCCATTTAACATCTGGGAACTGTTCTGACTGCTTTACGATGTTTCTCCCTGCGTGTGCGCATCAAGCGTGTGCACATCAATGTGACTCATACACCCACGAAGCTGCGAGACCAAGCAAAGCTTCCAGAAGATTGCCATATGGTTGTGCTGGCACGACGGTGGTTTGCGTCCCGGAGCGGAACAACTTTGTTCCGAACTTCCTTCTGTCGCACAGCCTGGTCAGAGCAAGCAGCATGGTTCCGTTTGCCGTTTGCTGTACTGCTATTTGCGTTGATTGCAGCAACGAGAATTGAATTGCATATATTATACGTTGCAGTTGTTCTAAGATTCAGTATCCGCTCCCACCTTGTCCTCTACCCCTCCCTGCCCTTCGGCCTGCAGCTTGGGCACTATGCTTCCGATATCGATCTGGCAATGGGCTCTCGCCTCTCACGAGCTGTCCATGAGATCTATTCACTCCTCCGTATATCAAGCACATGCAACAGATTATACACAATGGTAAGTTAATAGCTCGAAGCATCYGCGGAGATGTTCACTTTTCGAGTGCTGCCTGGTTGTGTGAATGAACACGCCAAGCTCCTGATACATTTCTCTCTATAAGATCCTTATTGTGATCCGCAACCACTACATACTCCTTCTTCATCCTTCCAACTACCAGCACCACCACCAGCACCACCAGCACCAGCATCTCCACCACCGTCCGCATTCCAACGATCGACATCTAAAATCAGCATCCATTAGCTTTCCTTCCGCGCATATACCGACAGGCAGCTGAGACTCTCGTCTCTGACTCTCATCTCTAGCTCATCAAGTCTTCTCGTATGCTCGATCCACAGCCTCCCTGCGAGTTTTCGCCAGCTGACCGATACAYTAAACAGTACTCTCCGACCAATCCAACTCTCTCAAACATCGCAACCCGACAATGTCTTCCTCCAACATCAACCGCAGCAACGGTGGCTCGGCTTCGGAGACCGACACACCCAACACCTTCGCTGTTGAAAGCTTCTTCTCAGACGCCTTCGACACAACCGGCGAGGCGGCTGCACGCGAGAGAGTGCTCTACCCGGATCCGGCAGAGGCTCTCGAGCCTCTCGTCGACTTGACTTTGTCGGACGACGATGAACCTGAAGCGGTACCTCGTGAGGCAGAAGCACAGCCGGAAGAGCCTGTTGCATTTCAAGGAGAAGCCAAAGAAATCATTGAGATTTCCGATGACGACAGCGACAGCGACAGCGACATTGTTGTGGCCTCTCCTCGATACGACAGTATGGCTACACGGGCTGCGAACGGCGAGCCAGTTCGTAAGAGGCAGAAGTTGGCGGACTACGTCAACACCTCCGCTCACGATGACGGGCGTCCATCTCAGCCAGTCGCCGCAGGGGGCCCGGCATCCGCGTCAAAGGCACCAGCACTACAGCAAGCCGTGCAAGCCCTCCCGCAAGCTGCGATACCTGCCCCTCTTGCTCCTGCGCCACTTCTACCTCCTCCCGCTGCTCAGGCTGCGGCTGTCCCTACTCTCGCCACTGCACAACCAGGCCAAAGCTCAATAAGGCTGGTCTGGAATTACAAGAACAAGTAGGTCAACAGAGCCATCCACACCCCTTTGAGCATGTGCTGACTATTCCAGATATATTCTTGACTTGATCATGGACAAGACCAGATCGATTCCTTCAACCTCTGCGAACAAGGAAAGGCTATTCAACGCCATGATCCAGCCGCAGCTCGATCGCCTCGGATACCAAGGAGTATACGAGTACAAGAAGATGGGCGCCCAATTTCAACAGAAGAACAGGGTTGGTAGATCTGGACATCCGACTTGGACTGATCCTGATTGGGACAGGATCAAGGCAGACCGAGGTGATGCCCGCGACAAGATTTGGCGAGGAGCGGTCGCCGCTTCTATACATGCTGAGGCGAGGCAGCTGGGCATTGCCATGGTCCGTAATTGATGAAGCGGCTTCAGAGGGAGGTGTCTCCGCAACTATGTAGATGGGCAAGATGGGAAAGTACAGATGCTGGCCATTTATTGCTGCGTGGGACATGATCAACGGCGCGGAAATCAGATTCGTCAATACTACATGGTAATCAAAGATTATACTTCTCTTGTTACTCTTCCTGCACAGTTCACCAAATCGACAGGTTTCTATTCACATTGAATCACAACGTCAGACCGATAAAATGTGAGTAGGAATTTAGAGTGTGCCATTGGCGTTGTCCACAGCGACGATTTGATTCATCTTTCAAGGTTGAAAATCGCAGGGTACAGCGTGAGACGTATGGCTTCTGAGGGAAACAAAGCCTACCGAGCAGTCTTCGGAAGCATAACTGATGAGCAAACAAGACCGTGGACTTTCTCCGTCCCTCACGCTTTCGACGCTTTTCTCCGGTTGGTTCGCAAAGTACGGAAGATGCAGGGCTAGGTTTGCCTCCAGCGAGATTAGTAGCACATATTCGTTGATTGGAGACTATTCCTTTTACTCACCCCCTAGGTTCTCCGCGGGTTGCTTGCCTTGGCCTGCTTAATAGAAGACATTCCTCTGGAGACAAAGGATCGCAGTGGTTCAAAGAAACATCAAAGGCAGTCAGTCAGTGCGATCCATGGCTTTGTCGTTCTCACGTCGCAAAAACGTCAATCCGGTCCGCGATTGCGATCTAGGACCTGGMCGCATATCTTGTGTGTTGTTTATACGATTGCTGTCTAGATGTTTAGCGTCATTGCGGTCACAATGAGTATATAGACGATGCTGCTCGGCGGGAGCTTAGATACTCACTCCTTCAGCGAATTACCGTCCTCCACTCCGAGCCATAGCTCCGCCCACCGCTTCAATCATGGCATCCCACGCCCTACATCTTCTGTTCGTGATAAATTTACTCTTTTCTATACAACGCACATGCAATGAATAGTATATCAAGGTAAGTTCCGACTCGAATCTTCTCTTCGTCAACAAGGACCAGCGCCTCCTCATCCATGATTCCCTCGTTCTAGCTCAGCATCCGTGTCTTCGTTGCACCTCATCTGACCTCCAATCATAGTTCTTCATTCATTCCACAGAAACCTCTGGAATATTGGCCAAAGATCATTCACCACTCACTGAGTAGTTTGACTGACACTCAGATATAGCGGCGCTCACTGCGCTTCCTCAACTCGTCCTCCCGCCTTCGCAAAGGCTGATCAAATGTTCCCACGAACGTTGCAGTAAGCGCCACTCCCGATGCAGACCTTGCTACTGCGCGATGGAATGARCTCATTGTGGAGACGATGTTCTTCTCCAACACCTTCGTCACAACTGGTGAGGACGTAGCCGAGTAGACTCCTTTTTCTAGGGGAGCTCCCATTGACCTTGGACGACGGCATGAAATTTGATGCGGCGGTCCCTGGAGGAGTCAAACCCATCTGAATATGATGTCGATGCGGACTCAGATGATGAAAGCGTCATCCTTGGAAGACATGCACACCGCCAAATCTCCCTCAGGTCATCGGATGAGGATTCGGTAGATCCAGGCGTGACTGAAGGAGTTGAAAGTCTGAACATTCAAGAACAGACAGCGGCTCTCACAGACTCAGAGTTGCGAGTGGTGGCCGACGGCCGGGACGGTATGGATCAACGAATACCCGCTGGGATTGAGTCAAACACGGAGCATATCAATACCTCTGACACTCGTTCGAGCAATCGATCGAGCAGCACAGCTTGTGAGGAACCTCCGCACAAGTAAGCAGAGCTCAAAGCCCTAGGCCAGCTATGCGAAGAAGACGACGATGCAGCTCTCGCTGGTCTTTCCTGGAAAACTTCAAACCTACCAGGCATGAAGAAGACTCAGGCTCTCAGCAAATGGTTTCAACGGGTCAATGGCCTCAACTACCGTGCGCTCTGCTTGTCGCTCCACCTCCCAATGTTCCAATCACCGCAGTACCTACTCTTCTTCCCCTCGCCGCTCCTCTTCCTCCTCTTGCGCCAGTGAATGCTCAAATTCCGCCACCGGACGCTGCCAAGATGGTCTGAACGTTCGAAGCAAAGTACGTTACTGTTCCTCTCTTCCATCATCTCGCACATCAACTCACCTTTCGCAGATAGATATATATGCTCGAGCTGGTCATAACCCCCATTCCAAAAACCACTCATGATGAGGAATGCCTATGCACTGCCTTTTGCCTGCCAGACCTCTGGCACCGCGCCTTCTATCACAACCTCCCAAATAGCAGGATGCAATCTCAATTCGTTTCGGTCGCAGGACAGTAACATTCTCTTCTCTTCCCGATAAGGAGCATGAGGACAAAGTCAAGCAGGTTCAGCAAGACTTTACCTACATGAGAGTTGTTCCATTTGCTCCCCAGTGGCCGAGTGGGAGATTCACCATTTGCGCCTGAGTGGGAAATCCACCATCAAGCCCGACTTGGCGGGTCGGACCAGGAAGAAATCTGGTTGTTGCCGCTGGACCATCCACGCCTCAAGGACGAGCTGTCTGCTATCAACCTATACAACAAAATTGATTCGGAAGAGATGCGAAAGCAGTACGGAGACAAGACGCGCAAAGACCGTCCAACTCCTGCGGATTGGATCTAGATCATCGCCGACGATGCGGCTGGTGTTGTGGGCGATGCGTTCCAACTATCGTTGTAGGAAGAAGACGAGGTGGACTGAGGAGGAGGAGGTGGAATTCGTCAACACCATGAGCGGGCGGGAGAGGGAGGTGTTTGATTGATTGGAGAGTGGGAGAGTATAGCTCTAGAGTATTGTCATGTATTTGGGGCAGGTTATTTTCTTACCGTTGATTCTATGAAGGGTTTTTGCTTCCCTGCGTTCGTCAAGATCAAATGCAGAAGCTGGTATATTTCTTGTCAATTATCCACTGTTCTTAAATAATACACTGCGAAGCTTTTAATATCCCAAAACCCTCCAACCAACATTCCCCCCTCTATCACTCCTCCTTCTACGCCCCCTTAATAATAACATCCGCCGCCTTCTCCGAAATAATATAAATCGGCAAAGAGATAAAAAACCCCGGAATCTTCGCAAAAGAAGAAGCATCCACAACCCTCAAACCCTGCACGCCTCTAACTCGAAATTTAGAATCCAGCACAGCATTCGGATCATTATCCGCTCCAATGGAAGCCGTACAGCAAGCATGATGACCCCACGCCTCATCTTTAATAAACTGCTTGACTTGTTCCTCACTACTGACATTTCTTCCAGGCAACCATTCGGTGAATTTCCCATCCAGAGGAACTAATTTGTCGAAAGCTTCTCTAGCCCACATGGTTCCTTCATACAAAGCTTGGATATCTTTATCAGCTGCTCCATTACCCGTGTCGAAGCTTCGGAAGTCGATTTGAGGTCTCTCGTGTGGACTTGCGGAGCGGAGTTTGACGGTTCCGGCATTGTTGTGCGTGTGGCCTTTGAGGGTTAACCAGGACCATTTGTCCCCATCAATAACCGCATCATAAGAATACCCAGGGTAGAAACCCGCGAAAATTCCTGGGGTTCCCAGGATGAAAATGTCTGGATCGTCGGACCGCGCGGCCGCGGAGGATTTCTGCACAATGGCTACTGCAGCTCCACTGGTGGTGTATGGGGACTTTTGAACGCCTGTTCTTCCATTCTTCCATTTTTCAAGACATGGGTCTGCTTTTCCGTCAAAGCCAAATGTACAGTCCTTTTCGACTTTGAATTTTGTGGGGGCTTCGCCGATGAGTGTCACTTCGTAGCGATCCTGCATGTTGGATCCAACACCTGGCAAGTCCTTCACGACTTCGATACCGAATGATTCGAGTTCTTCCTTGGGTCCGATACCGCTCAATTTGAGTAGCTGAGGAGTGTTGAAGGTTCCGGCTGAGATGATAACTTCCTTGCTGGCAGCGACATATCCGGGAGTACCGCTGAGACTTGGAGAGTAATTCGGATCCGCGCTGTACAAGTGCTCACCCGCAAGATATTCCACACCAATCGCTTTGGGAGTGTTTCCAGATGTGTCGAATCGGACTTTGGTGGCCAATGTGTGCAGGGCAATGTCAAGGTGATATTTGCGGCTTCCATCTGGGTTTGTGGTTCGTGCGACTTCGAGGACGAAGTTTCGGGGACTGGAGCGGGTGTAGTTGGTTGAATCCATCGATTGTGGGATTTGGTAGATGTTGGTGGTGGAGTCGCGGAAGGGACTGTTGGAGTTCAGGTCATCGAGGAGAACGGCGGCGAAGCTGGTGACAGTGCTGAGGATGCTCGTAATGAGGCCCTACAGAGTTCGGTAAGCATTCATCAATCGACTTTCAATCTTGGAGGATCAGTCAGCTTACCCTTCCCATGGCCGCAAGCGCCGAAAGCACAATGGATATGAGCTTGGCATCCTCCAGAAGCAGAGTCAAAGGTGTCAAACTGGTTCGGAGCCAGCCATCTTTACCATGTCCCGATCCCCAGTTCGGGTACTGAGCTCGCTCAAGTTTGACAAAGTACTTGCGCATGTTATCGGGCGCCCAAGAGTTATCTCCAGTAAGCTTTTGAATGTAGGTCCAATCGCTCCGGTGAGGGTAGACTGTGATCATGGCATTGACCTCAGCGCTGCCGCCCAATGCTCCTGCACGAGGGTACAGAACTCCCAATGGCTCTGCTCCCTCTGGGGGGAAGAGACCATGATAATAACTGCCTGGATTGAAAAGAGATATATATCAGTATACTGAAACCAGCCTTGCGACATTGACGTCTTGACTTACCATCAGTCTGCAGATAAGTCATATGGGAATCCCTCGCCTGTCGCTCCGGATCCTCGTAGTGAGTAACAAAGTAATCCCATTTGATAGCAGGATCCTCTCCAGCCTTGAGATTATACGTAGGAACCTGAACATTAATGTTGTCCGAATTGTCGCCGCCAGCTACAGGTATAAGTCAGCAAGCATCCTCTCCATCCCAAAAGAAGACAGCAATTCCTCTCACCTTCAATAAGCAAGACCTTGAATCCCGCAAGAGCAAGTCTAGCAGCAAGCGGTCCTCCACCAGGTCCACTTCCCACAACAACATACTCATAATCCGTCTCGCCGTCGACCTGTCGTCCAGCATGAAGAGATCTCAAATGATAATCATGATGTCCACCATGTCCCACAGCAGCAGTGAGGGCACAGCCCGCGAGCAAAACACCAGAAACGACCGCCTTGAACAACATCATCTTGGGCCAAGAGATTCGTTCAATCCCCGGGTAAGCATGTAGTGGTGACAACAACAAGACAAAAGGAACAAAGACAACAAGGCAAGCGGCGTCTTAACGGAAAAGAGWGATCCAACCCCATGCCCCAACACCTTCATCCCCTTCTCATTGGCCACTTCGCATCAAGTGTCGATCTAAACAACTCCCCCTACAGTAGTAGGCTGACGACGACCACCAACAAACGCCCCTAACTAATAAAAACCGCCTTGCCCTTCCCACCCGAGCTCTCTCGAGCGAAACTCGGTTGCGCAATTAATCTCGGGTTTTTGTATGGCCCCACACGGCGAAATGTCTTGGTCTCAGCCAGGGTCCTCCGCCGTTCCTGGACCGTCAGGGATTACCCTGGTCTCCAATACCTTTTAGCCCTCGGGTAAAGCTTTCCGCGGCGGGAAGCAGGGATCCTTAAAGCGTCCGTCGTGGATTTTTGAACAGCTCGTGCACGGAGAATTCCCATTTGCCGAAAAGAGGTTGGGAGGAGCGGGTCGATAAGCCTTGATTATTGAGATCTCATCAATGCTCTGTCTGTGCTTCTTCAATCCTTCATGGCGAATCGGGTAGTTGAGGTCCGAGAATCGGGGAACTTGTTCATAAGTGGAAAGTTGTGCATTGTGCAACGTCGTCGATGTGATGATGATGCAGGTTGTAGGTCATGACAATATTCCTTTCTTTGGGACAGTATCCACATTAAAAACGCCTCGCTTGCAATCCAAATTCTAGCGTCTTCCACCACGTTTTCCATGCCGGTAGATAGGAGAGTGCATGGCGGCATCCCCACACACACACACCGCTCGCCCAACTCATCCTTCTCCGCCCCACTGATGTGATTTGGGCCGCGAGAAGTTGCGGCTGGCGCGTTCGCGGGGACTGATTGGACTCACAGGGCCATTTGCCGGCTCTATCAAATCCTTCGTACTGACATCTATTTCGTGATATGTTAGAAGGGTGTTGGGAACGACGTTGTAAAAGGATGAACAAACTCTCGAGTGGGATGAAGGTCCTGTCTTCGCTGTCTCGTTGCCGCACACTAACCTCGACTCCTTTGTGGTTACTGCTCATGACTGCTGTGGGTCCGGATAAATTGGTTCCACCTGTGGTGCCGCCAAAGCCGGTGGTGTTACCCATGAGTTTGGGCAGAAATCTGCGAATTAAGTTCCGGATGCCGGGCACTGTCCTATTGTCAGCTGCAGTAGATGATCGTTCGCATGGAGAGCTTACTGCAGGCACAGCACATGGCAGTGTTGATTTCGATTGATGTCCAATATCCTGCTTGCTTGTAGTCATCTGCGATGGTCAGTGTATGATTTCAAGCCGGCAGAAGCGAGGCGTACATGTGAGGTTTGTGGAGTCTGCAAACTTGATGAGAGTTTGGAGACGAAGAATGCTGACAATTGTCACAAAGGACCCAACGCCGAACATCAGCATGACCTGAAAGATTGGTGTTAGTTGAGATTGGTGTAGGTTCAAAAGGAGACCATCTCACAAGGAGCTTCTTCCGAAGATTGAGATTCATGCCCCACAGCATGGGCATCGGAAGTGCCACGACGACGATATCGAGGATGATGTTGATTATGGCCGACGCCCAGCTCTGAGCGTTGATGCTGTTCTGTTGATCATCAGTATCCATCTAGCAATACTCTTGGTGGCACTTCATACGCATGATCCAGGTCTCGTTCCGTCCCACTTGTGCCACGCCTGCAAGACAAATGTCAGTTATGAGCTCAAGTCTGTATTTTTTTCATCCTCTACTCACGTAGTTGACTGGCGCGCATTGAAAGATGGTGATGAAGATGAATGTTATTGCGTATGCTCCGTTGAGCGCAATAGTGGCATACACGAGTTTCCGGAAGCGTGGCTGCTGGAAAATGCCTGTATCACGATCAGCTGCTGGATGTAGACCGAGTCTTGGACGAACTGACGAAGATATGTGCAGAGAATACCGATCTTGATGGCTGGTAGGGTTACCAAATACAAGATCTCGGCGATGAAGTACAGCTGAGGAAACGATCAGCTATGAACAACCAAAGCAATGCTGATGTGCTTACTTCGAGGATCCTAGTCAGGTTCTGAAATGGTACCGTCCAGACCTGGGTGGAACGATGATATCAGCATGCAGCAATGATAACAAGCTGGAAGGGGTTTCGAAGATCTTAATCATCCCAAGACAGTAACTCACATCTCTCCCGATACCCAACGCATTCAGAGCATTTGACAGACCAGAGATGGGAAAGAGCAAMAGCATAGCGATGCCAATTGCGAGATCGTCCCACCAGAAATCGGCATCGAACCGTGAGCCAGGAATACAAGAAAAGGAAACCTTGGAAGCCAGACGCATAAGAAATGATACGATAGCGAATGCAAGTCCAATGACACTAGCGAGTGAGTAGTGGGCTCCTTCCCGGACGGGCCTGTTGCAAAGCGTTTCGGTGATGTTCTTGGTGGCTGCGGTAACATGGTGAGTATGATTCGTTGGAGGTGAAGAAGTTGAATGTCGTACTCAGTTGCTCTCGAATGGTGCACGCTGCCTGGTGGTGGAGGAGTCAGCTTCCATCTCCCCGATGCAAGGTACATCTTCCGCTACGTCACCCACCTTTGCGCATGCTTCAGTCCCGGCAGTCGCTGTTGCATTGCTGCAGCTTGCGGTTATGTTGATAGGACCAGTCCTGCCCGAATTTGCAACTCCCTCTAGGAGACATGTTCGCTGTGAGATTGAATTCAGAATCCGTCACGGAACCTCGGTATCATCGCACGTACTGCACATTCGGGCATGCTGGCCACCAGCTGTATTGCCCGCTCCAACTCTTCCGTCGCATTTTGACCAGCAGCCAGAGCGGCGGAGAACGCCACCAAGATCCAGGAAAGCCGCATGGCGAAGAGACGAAACGCAACAAAGAAATCAAAGGCTTCGAAGGATCATGGGAAAGGAGCGTGGGACATGGTGCTTGGAATCGCAAAGGTCTAGAAGGGATGGGAGTAGTGCCCTTGTGAAACCGATGGCCAGGCGGGAGGGAGGGAAACCGAAGCGGCCATTCTGCCGACCCATGTTGTACGCCAAGCCCATCATGGTTGGAGTTGTGGGACTTTGAGACATTAGTTTATCGGCTTGTTGGTGTTGTGGTGCTCTGGCCAATTTGGCTTGCAGGGGAGGGATTGACTGCAGAAGCGGACTCGGCGCTTCTTTGTCGATCTTCAGCTAGCTCATATTCAATATCTCAATGCAACGGGGATTATGCAAAAGCCGCGCATGAGCCGAATGGTCATTTATCCGCCTGGAATCGCTAGTCCTACGCATCGCGAGATAACGAGCAAAGACGATGCATGGAAGCTGCATCGCCCAGATTTCCGCAGCCATTACTCGGGGTCTGACTGTATTCTCCTGGAATATTCCAGTTTGGATTGATGAGAAGGGGACCTGGTACCTTAGGAGAGCCCGGAAGCGACGGAATCTCAATGCCAGACGCTTGTGCTTACCCTGAACAAAGCGGACAATTGTCGAGAGGATGCCAACATCATTGCATCGACGATGTGGAGCTCCACGAGAGGAGTCGGCGTCTGCAAGCGAAGAGTGCTAGGGCTGTAGGAGGAGTCCAACTCCGAAAGGATGGAAATGTCGAGGTCCGAGCGAAATGTGATGTGCCGATGACGAAAGCGGGTGGCTTGGCGTGAGGGTTAGGGTTGGGGTAGTGTACAAGTGACATTTTGCACGGCAATGGGTATCAGATCCAACACATTTCCAGGCGTAGGAGATTCTTGATGCTGCCTTGATATTTCGGGATGTTTCTGAGGCGGTCGCTGCCGTGTGTTGTGAGATTACTCTGATTGTAGCCAAAGTGTACGCCCGATGGTTGGAATTCCCGAGCTTTGGTCTGCCGAGACAATCCCATCGGCGGGGATCGATCCTGTTGGCTATTCTGACCAACGCAACCATTTGAGGCAAGGGAATATGGGCAGTTCGTGAATACAACTTTGAAAGCCTTGTCAAGATCTCAATGCTACATTCATACTCCACCAAGACGACAAGACGCGTATCGTTCCAGTGCACTCAAGCCATCGCCGGGAAGTCACAGAGACCGGGAAAGCTCTTCCGACTCTTTGGTGAGGTAATGGACAATGCTGATGCCAACTTGCATGGAATGTAGACTAGAAGGGCAGTGGCGCTTGCTCGCTCCTGTACGAGGCCCAAGAGTAGGTAACTTCCAGAGCTCCAATAGCCTCTGCCATCCCCTTCGTATTCCCATCTCCCTGTTCACAACCTCCCTCGCTTGTGAGAGAGCGTCCACCTCAGTACTTCTCATCACTTCTGCTCACTATCCTATTAGAGCCGTCGGCCAGGATGGTTGCCTCCATCGTCTTAACAAATCCCGTCAACTTGCTACAGTCCTCTTCCTCCTCTTCGCCATCCTCTTCCTCAGGGTATTTGTGCCATCGACCAGCCCTTTCACCGCAGTCTCACTGCTCGTCTCCCCTCTCTTGCCGTCCATCTTGTTGGCCGGTCCTCACTTGCCTTCGATCGCAGAAGTCTCGGCTTCTGGAATCGGGAAGTCATTCTCAGCAGCTTGTCTGCGAGCAGCCGCGAGCTTCACGGAGCAGACTGTTCATTCAAATGTAWCCATGACCGACAGATCCTTGAATCCAAGTCGTGTATAGAAGTGCTTCTGCCATTGTTCGTTGCTTGCCAACACCCTCGTCGCACACTCTTTCTCTTTTTTGCCGAGTCGCTTGGTGAAGAATACCATGGATGCCTGCGGCGTACAACTTCTCATGAAACCGCTTCTTGAAAGCTCTCGAATCGACCGTGGGAGTCCAGGACTAGTTCTTGGTCATTCTCGGGCATGCTGGGAGTATGTCTCGTGTCTTCCATTTCGCTGAAGCCGCCTGGGAACAGGCTTTCTGGAGGCCATGCTGAGCGCTGCTTGCTTGAAGATACCACTATGGAAGCTACGCGCATAGGTCTCCTCGATGGGACAGAAAGCTGGCTGCTGGTGCAGGAATGGCTCTAGACATCCGCAGAAATCCAAGGAAGAATGCGGCGCCGTGATCTGCTCAGCGATCAGCCATGTTGATTCTCACGAGAAAAGTCCCGCTTCCATCATGACAGCACATCAGGAGATCGTTCGAGATGGATGCGCATGTTGCAGAGGCCAATCGGATGCTCACGTAGTCTCAAGACATGGAGAGAAGGAAGGCACGGCTCTGAGGCATGTAGAGTTGGCAATGGCGACTCGCGAGGCGGCACACTTCATCTCACCGAAGACTGCCCAGGTGACATCCTCAAAACATGCTCCTGTCTCTCATGACCATTGCATTGTGGACAACGGAGCTGCCTATCTCTACTTCTGCTGCATCAAGACAATAACATTCGACTGCAAACTGTCCACATCACCTACGCTGAGAAGCTGGCCATGAATGCGGCTCGACATTCTCACTTCTCTCCCAAGGACCCCTCCCGAACGCAAACCTCGTCGGCCTTATGTGTTTTCAACTTCCACTCCGCCGATGACGGCCGGTTTGGTTGGCTGTGGTGATTCGTGGTGTCTTGTGTAACAAGCGCTCGTCAGAGGCCATTCAACGCCAAGACATGAGCAGCACGGCCAGCAAACACAACAACTTTCTGGTGTCCAATTTGCCAAAACTATAGCTGAGCAGGAAGCGCCATGCTCGAGCATCTATATGCGACTCTTCCGGAGGTTTGGAGAGTCCTGGTCGTGGAACAATGGCGGTTCTGCCGTGGATACCACACTTCATTCACTCTCATCTTGGTCCCTTCTTTCCCAATCCGCTCTGTCCCCACCAGAAGTCCACCTGAGGAGGTTRGGAGGCTGGGAAGCCCGCAGACAGCTGTTCTTCCCTTCGTCTGCTCTTCTTCTTCTTCTCTTCAGACACAGACAAAAACACATTCAGCAAGCCTTCAACCGCCAAACCGCAAGACTTCATCGCATCGCCCCAGCAACAGCATTGACCGCAGCGCAAGACTTTCCGCACCCCGCAACTAGCTTCCAGCTACTTGCCATTGGTGAGTTTTTCCGACTTTCCACCGCATGCCATTGGAACAGTGACTGACTATGCCTCAGACTTCATACGCGCACTCAGCAACAGCTTCGAGTTCGCAAAGAACTCGCCGCGCATCAAGCCAGCTTTTCCGCGGCTTCATCGAGGTAGAGACCTCCGCTCTGCAGAGATTTCCATGGAATCAGTAACTGACAGCATTGCAGACCAAAGAGCGTCTCGAGCCTCCTTTTCGCGCCCTTCGCCAGCAACACCTTCGAGTTCACGGCAGAACTCTCCCAGCGCACCTCACCCGCTTTTCTCTTTCAAAACAAAGGTGGTCATTCCATGCAGAGACTTCATCAAGACCAAGACTGACATTTTCGCAGACTCCAGCCACAATGGGTTCCTCATTCTTCAACGACGCCTTCAACGCCCCCGACTACTTCAGCAACGAGAACCAGCTCCAGGAGCTGATTGACCGCGATGCCATGAACGACATTCTCGGCATCGACGACTCTGCCTACTTCGGCAACACCAACAGCTTCGGCTTCCAGCAGCCATCGGCTGCGGCGGCTCCCAACTTCACCACACCACCAGCTCCGGCTCCAGTCTTCCAGCAGCAGGTTGCTCCCGTTGCTCCAATGGTTGCCGCCATCAACATCGCTCCTGTTGCTGCGGCTCCAGTCTTCCAGCAGCAGATCGCTCCCGTTGCTCCAATGGCTGCGGCCAACAACATCGCTCCCGTCAGCGTTCTTCAGTGGCAGGCTCCAATGGGCGCCGCTCCCCCAATGGCCGCTATTGCCCCAATGGGCGCCGCTCCCTCAATGAGCGCCGCTCCCCAAATGGCCTCCACTGCCCGAATGGGTGCCGCTACCCCAATGATTGGCGCTGTCCCAGCTCCAGCCAAGAAGAGAAAGACTTCCAAGGCCAAGAAGGAGAAGCGTGGTGCAGCTCCCAGCTACAATCAGCAGATGCAGACTCTCAACAACGTCAATGGCTCGCACAACCCCAGCATGGGTCTCGGCATCACGCCCGTCGGCTATCAGCCCAGCACCAATCCCTCTCATGCCCACCTCCTCCACGGCGTTCAGACTCAGCAGTACAACGCTCCGCCTCAAGCAAACTTCGCTTTCGGCGCGCCACCAGTTGCTCAGATGCAGACCACCTCGTCGTTYWYTYYWYA